ATTTAAGGTGTGAAGTGTTGATAAGTTTTAGTAATATAATTGAATAGAACAAAAATATTAGCCCTGACCTTTTATCGATTTGTTTTCAGCCTTGAAGGCATGTTTAAATATATATTGTTTTATATTTGTTATTATTGATAATTTAATTAACATTAATTCAATATGTTTCATTTGTGCCAGTCTCCAGGAATATGCTAACAAAGAAAATACAAAGTTTTTTGTTAGCATTCGTTTCATTTAAAGAAATGCGCAGAAAAAACTATAGTAAGAGCCAGATTCTCTACCTCTATAACTATCAATTAAACAATACGGCAATTATTAAAAGTCGCACTCGTGTAAACTGATATCAACCTGCTTATTTATTTACAGATGGTATTTACTTAAGCTTTTGTTTCTCCGAGTGCATCAGCTATCGGAACGGGTCCCGAGGCAACAACAAAAAGTGGATACGCGTCGTCGTCGCCGACGATTCACTACTCATATGACTTGGCAGACCACGCGACTTCGCACATGAAGCACCACATCACCACCACATCGCGACTACTGCCTCTGCCGCTCCCCTTTCCACGCTGCCATTTAAATGTGCTGATTTCTGTTTGCACATAACTAAGGTTTGTGTGTCGACTTCTCCGCAGTCAAAAGCGTACATATTTAATTGCACTGATGATTATGGTGGCACGAGGCGCTCGCGGGGATGGCCACAGGAATGGGAACGTCGGAGCTATGTTGGGGCACCACTAGAAACTCTTTTGACATATGGCCCACAGCCAGACACGCTGGCACCTGGTCTATTACTATATTACTCTATTACCGCGCTCGCTCGCATCAACGTAACGTTACGGCCCATGTAATAAGTTCACACCTGGACGAGCCAGCGCCACTTTGATTGATGTCTGGCAGTGTTTGGCCATTCAATTGGCGGGCAGTTATCAAAAACTATTAATGAATTCTCATTCGCTCCCAATTTACGACTCATTTCGGTGTGTGGAACTAAGCCGGCGCAAAGGCTCTAAGTGAAATCATCCATAATGGTTCATTCAGACAGTTTGATTCAGTTTGGTTTGGTTGTTGCTGTTTTCCCCCATTTTGCGAGGAAGATTGATATGTGTGGCTTTGTTTGATCGGCAATCGGACGCATATTTTATTGTGTTTCACACGTGCCTGAAGCCTGGGTCCCCGGATCATAATGAGAGTATTGTTGGGCCAAAGTTTTCCACAAAAGGTGCTAATTCCCTTGATTTGCGCGTATCTGCGGGATGGGATCCATGTGAAAGTCCAACGATCGACAACGAGTCGCAGTCCGTGGGGTGTATGAAATCACAGTTTGTATAGAGCCTGAAATCCCCGAACTTATCGGGAATTAATACCTGCACGCTAATAACGGCTATATGTATTTTTGGACGCCATATGTGGTGGATATCGGTCGAACGCAAACGCAATGGCGATTGCGAATGCGAATGACTTGCGAATTGGGTTAAGGAATGCGCGCCTTCAAAGGCACATGATGCCAGACGACGGCTGGTTTTCGGCTGCTTTTCGGCTGCTTTTCTACTTTATTTTTTCGACCATTTTGCGTTTTTAGCATGCATATATCGAGGCGAAATTAAACAAAAAACTGTCATGTGACCAGCTGGCTAGCAAATGTCTAAACTTGGTCACGACGCGATGATGGGACTGGAAAGCTGGGTGCTGGAAAAAAAAATAGTGATTCACTGGCAACCCAGGTTGATTCACTTCAGGTGTCCAGACTTTTTTTTTAGAATTTCACCAGTGTAGGCCTATATTGATGGTAAATCAAATATTCTAATTATATTAGACTTTTTTAATCTTAAAAAGTAGTGACTTAGGCTTTCCCAAAAGAGAACTTGGGAATTACAAGATGAATGACCAAAAGTTTTTTTCAGTTTTTTTTTTACCTTACATTCTTTTAACATTAATGTTTATCAGGATAATAAAAACAATACCAACGAGCAAATTCTAAATAAGGTTCATACCTTGACTTTTAGAATTTCACAATTACTTTAATTGTAGACCACTTTTTTGCCAGCTATTATTCTTAGCTCTGCGGCTATCAGAGACCGAAAGTATGTTATTTTTAAATCAAGCGAAATGGGAAATATGAACGATAAGTAAGGTTCAGATTCTGTCGTGGAAATTTACCCAAGCGTGCTGGCATAATATATATTGCCGCCACCCGACTAAATTAAGCAAACAAACAAATAAATTATTTGGGCGGAGTGGTGTGGACTAGAGTGGATAGTTTTTAACTGCTATTAGTGTAAACGTTTGTTTAGTTTACAGCGAATCCGAGAAACCTGACCTAGCGCAAAGATAGCGTCATAAATGGGGTCTTCCGTGGGGGGCGGGGGCATTTTGCGGGGGAGTTAGACTCACCAGCTGTCCACACATTACAGGTTTTTTTTTATACATAATACTATTATTTTTGTTATTCTCCAGGCGCGAACGTGTGTAAAGTTGTGCTGTGTTTATGGGCAAAGTGCAAAAACCCCGAAAGCTCGCGGCGCTTAATTAGCGAAGTGAAAAGTTTCTATCACGTGATGGCGAATGTTGGCGACAAGCGCGGCCATAAATGTGTATACAGCCCCGAATATTGGCCAATACACACTTGAATCTGACAATTTCACCATTACGCTATATATATTTTAAATGCCCGCTCGGCGTCTGACCGATAAGGACTCCGATTGACAGCGTGGACGAGGCGCTAATCGAATTAAACACCGCCCAGCAGAGGCGGAGGCCCTCAGATTACGGATCGAAAAAATAGGGGAAAACGATCATAATAATTTTATAGGACCGGTGAAATAATTTCTCCAAAAGTTTGTCATCAATTTACGGTACTTTATTTCGCATCAAAGGTGGGTGGTGTATCACCGTGACATTTCCAAAAACAAAACTCGGTTAAATGTTTTCTGAAAATGTTAATGAAGTGGTTCTTTTTTTGATATGATTTTTTATTAAACTTTCTAGATTAGCAATCCTTTGATTGCCAATATAAAGTACAAACTTGAAATGGAATCATTATCATCATAAAAGGAAAATGGGCCAATTCCCAAGGGTGCTTGGGAAAGGTAAAAGCCATTTTTTATTTGTTTCCTTTTAAGATTCTGATCAAATTGGGGATTCTACCAACAGATACCAGTCTGAATTTGTTCGACTTCAATAAATTGCAAAGTGTAAAATACACCAGATCGGTCACATTTATAAATGTTTCTTCTTATTTCTAATCATATGGTTTTATAATTTTAATTCCTTTAATTCTATCAAATTACAAGCGGTTAACGAGCTGATTTCAATTTAATTTCCCCTGCGTGCGTAGCGGTAAATCGCCAGTTTACAAGTTACTAGAAAACCGGACGTGGGTGTGTCCACCAGTTAACTGTTAACTGAGCATCCCTCTGTTAATTCCCCGCAATCACAGCCACATGCCATAGATCCCCCAAGCAACAACAACAAGCTCAATCAGAACCCACGCACAAAGTGCGGAAAGTGTCAAAAATAAACATTGTAAAGCGTATGCAGCAGCATGAATAAATAGTAGTAATAAATAATAATGAAATGAATTAAGTGTGGAACGCAGAAGAGGCGGAGGAGCGGCGTCGGAGGCAACAAAAACAATGCGCCGCGCCAACAACAAATGTGTATGACATAATAATCACGAGAGCAGGCCGCGACCGCCGATTAGCAAGTCATGTGATTCGCTTTTATTTACATTTGCGCCTGACGTTGCCGTCGCCGCCCCTCCCCCGCTACGCCCCCCGCCCACAACTTGTGCCAGCGGTGGGAGCGAGATGGAACTCTCACGAAGCGATAACGAAGCTAGCCGAGAATGAAACGAACCGCGATCGGGTGGTGGAGCACAGAGGAGAACAGAGCGAGGGAAAGGGAGAGCATAGTGGGGCACAGTTATTTGCGCGCGCAGCTCAATCGAGGGTGCGGAGCAATGGGAGTGAAAAGAAAGGCAACAGTCAACGGCTCTATTTCCACACATGCACCCGCGGGGCAGTGCTTTGCTTTTTCTGTTCTTTTTGTTTGTTGCTGTTGTTGTTTCTGCCATAGCTACCCAACATGCACTGCTGGGGGTGTTGGGTGATTTAGGGCTTGTTGTTGCTGCTATCTCTGCAGCAAAGCAATCTTTATCGATATACAGTGAATACGCATAATGTGGTAGCCAAAAGCAAAGTTGGCCTAATTATTCATGGCTAATCTAATTAGGCAAAGAAGAAGAGGTTTGAATACAAGTGAAGCTTTTTAATTAATTTTCTATACATGAAAAACTTGCAATCTCCCATTTATACACAGCCTACCTATGGATAAACTACGAACTATAGGAAGTAATCCAAAAAAAGATCTTTTAAAATTCTGTTACCATAGATTTCAAAAAATCAGCTCTAGAATATTTAAATAGAATTTACCCTGCAGGTGGCTTTTAGGCAACGTCTACTGTAATTGTTTTTACTCCAATGAAAGGGACAGGCCATGACAATGCCTTCTTTGTTACATTTTCGTAACAGCTGCAATGGCTAATGCGTCTAGAAATCCGCAACAAATTTGCATATGTATGAATCTACTCGACTTCCGGCTGATGCAAATCTGAGTAATCGTACATCAGCCTACGTGCAAACATCACATATGTATGCTGGCTGCGTACGTGACACCGTCTGGTGGAGCCGAATATGTTTGCTGGGTTATCGTCCTCGTTTGCTCTCTGCCAATTTGCGTACGAACAAAGGGAAGAGGAAGCGCAGCAGGTAGCTATAGAGAGGGCGGGCGCAGAGAGGTGCAAGTGTGAAACGCATCATGAGAACGACTTTTCGCATGCGCGTGTGTGCGAGCGAGACTTTTGTGTTTTTGCAGCTGCACCTCTTTTCCCCCTGCCTTTTGTTGTTGCGCATTTATCGACGACTAATACCGGGTGTTAGACACGGTACAGTTCTATGCCTGTCTGTGTAATGCTTCCAGGTAAACAGATAAACACTTACCTTAGATAATTTCGCGAAGTTTGTTTTGTAGCTTTTGCGGACGACGAACTATTGCCGCCGCCGACAGAGGAGTGAGTTGGACGTGCCGGCAAAGCTGTTGTTGCTGTTGCTGCCGCTGATGTCGTTGTTTGGCTGTTAATTAACGCTGCCGCTGCTGCTGCGGACGCGGTCAGCGTGGGCGCCGCCGCTAAATTTGCGGGTGTTGTTGGTGTTGCCGAGGGAAAGAAGAGTTTGTTCAATAGGGCCATAATAACATACAGTGTGCGCAATCATTTAATAAACACATCTGGCCAGCCTCCGGTTTTTATTTAATGGAAATCAAAATCGAAATTCAAAAATCACTTGAGTCACACACGCGCTCGCGCTTTTCGCTTTCCTTGGAATGTGTTGGTGTTGGCTTTTGGCGTTGGAGTGAGCGAGAGGCAATGCAAGGCGAGACGAGGCGAGGCGTTACCGTTAGTCGGGCGACACACGCGCGCCAGCCAGAGCGAGATGGCGGATGCTGCACAATCAAAACTTTCGCTTTGCACTTTTCTTTTGCACACCGTATTTTCTTTCGATTTTTCTTTTAGATCAGATCCGATCTCTTCCTGTATTTGCACATACACGCACACAAACTCACTGCTTTTGATTGGGGAAAAAATATGGCTATTTTTGTGTGTTATTCTTGCGAATTGCGGCGGAAATCGCTGCCGTCTCGACGCAGGTTCTTTACCGTTCCACACCGAAATGAGAACCAAATATCGCTGGCGTCCGCTTTAAAAAGTTTGCAAGAGACGCAGCCATGATAACACCAGTATAAGGTGCAAAAGCAGTCCGTTAACACCCTCCAATATCAATAACTCGGCGAACGATAGCGGACAAAACCGACCGCCTCGACAGGCCGACGAGACTATTTCACTTGTGTGGGAGCGAGAGAGGGAGAGTGAGCGAGTGCGAGGTGGCGAAGAGATCTGCTCGCGAACGAGTGTTGTGTGTGAGAATAACGTTGGCTCAAAACTTTGGATTTTCTGCTACTAATATTTATGACCAACGCGCGAGCTTCATTTGGCCAATACACACACACAATATACATATATATTTTTTCGTCTTTCGCCTTGTTTGTTGTCAATCAACGCACTTCCCACTTCCTGCCCACCTCTTATAGCCGTCTATTCTTGTGCCCTGGGCGCTGAAAGCCCCGCTTGTCCAGTCACTTAATTTAATTGAACACTGCGGTTGATGTTTGCTCCCTTTCGAGGTGCTACATTCCGGTTTAAAGGTTGATTTTAACAGTTTCCCGCTGAATGTTTGGCCTTTATTTACAATCACAAACACAAACACAACGAATGAGCGGCGAAGACGAATAGCGAAAAACAATACTCAAAGAGAGAGAGAAAATACCTACATTCACCGCTGTTTTTCCAGCAACTATAAGTTATCGCCGGACGGTCACTCTAAGGCGGTTTTTGAGAGTCGGTAAAAATTTGATAAAGCAGTTCTGATTGGAGCAAAGCAGTTCTGCTTGGAATCTGCTGGCACAGTGGTAACCAACTAATTTGAAATGTCGTTTAAATACTGGTTTAAGAAGCTATGTAAAGAATAAATGTTCAAAAATCACATAAATTAAAGATAAATTTTTATTTTTTATTTATAATTTAAATTAAACAAGAAAGAAAGCTAACTTCGGCACGAGCATTTGATCTTTAAGAATCGATCCATTCTGGTAAATTTAATAGAAAAAATAAAAATAAATATATAAGAGTTGTATTTATACATAGCATATAATAATAGTATTAATTTTCTTACCATTCCAATGGCAACTTTATGATATAGTAGTCCGATCTGACCCGTATTCCCGTTATACACTTTTGAAAATAGAAAGAAGATAATCCCTTGTTAAGTAAACATTAACTGAACAATTTTCCGAACTTTTGATGACTATAGACATCTATAAATCACCTTATCGATATATAAAATAGGGCTTCGTGTTTTGATTTAATTTTAAATTGTTGAACTTTATTTTTGTTGGCTTACATATACATATTTCAAAATTTTTAGGCCCACATGCAAAGGAAGCGTGGGAAATTGGTTTCGACATGAATAGAATTCACCGTTTATATAAATTCATACGATCTGGCTGGCGTGTGCTGTCCATACTCCTCCATACATCTTCTATATTCTCATTATCTGGTGTAATATTCACTTAACCTTAACTGGAACCGAGCGAAAGTAGAAAACATTCAAATCTTAAACATTAGCGTTAAATATTCGTTCGCCTAGGAATTCCGATATTAAAAGGCTTGGTTTTACGAGATTTTGATCAAATAGAACATACATATACATATTAACCATTTATAAATGAGGCGACTTTGAGCCGGGCCTTGGAGAAGAAGCTTACCATAGTTACTTTCTCATATTTCTTTCTTTTTTTTTTGTTTTTTTTTTTTTTTTCTTTGTTTTGTGTGTTTTTAAGTTTTCTTAAGTTTTTCCTTTGTTATGTTAGTTTCGTTTAACTGGTTGCTTGCATGCGTGCGTTGTGTGTTTATGAGTAGCAGAGTGTGTTGTGTGTGTTTGTGTAAGTGTGAAAATATAAGTCATGATTTTTTGGAGCAGCTGCCTCCGGTATTGTCCGCCTAATCCTTGCAGGTGGACGTGTCCATGGGACTGGCCGGCTGGATAAAGGCCGTGGCCGCCGAGCTGGGCGGATTGGTGGGCGTGAACGCCGACAGTGAGGAGTTGCTGCTGCTGCTGACCAAATTGCCGCCGCTGGACGAGTTGTTCAGGCTGATCATGTTGTTCATCAGGTTTGACGACGACGAAGAACCACTGGACGTGCCCGTCAGCTGGCCCAGCATACCGCCGCCGCCAGCCAGGAAAGTGGCACTGCCGCCGCCCGCAGATGGCATCGATCCCAGGCTTAAGCGCTCACTGCCGCCGCCCAGATTTGAGAGGAAGCCGCCTGCGGCGTTCCCAGCTGATACGGACGCCGACGAGGAGGAGCTGGCGGGACCGATGATGCCCAACAGTGGATTCGTGGTGGTCAGCACGTTGGGTGCGGAAGTGTTTAAGCCCAGCATGGGCGTTGGCAGTGCTGGCTTAATGAAGCGCTCGCTGGCGCGACGATTCTAGCGGGTTTAGAAGGAAACCATGGTTAAGGTAGTGATCAGAGGATTATCTACACTAAATACTCACCATTAACTGGCCACAGGCATAGCAGCGGTTTTGGCCCGCCGTGCCCGGGCTAAGGGGACGGCTGCTCGAGGGGCTGTGGGAGACGGGACTGCTAATGGTGCGCTGCCTCTGGGCACTGGCCGCCGAGGCAGCGGCTGCTGCAGCTGCCGCCGCTGCAGCCGACGAGCCGCCAGCCATGAGACTTTCGTTGTAGAAGCGCTCCTCGTCCATCTCCAACGAGGACTCAGATTCTGAGAGGTGTCGGCAGAGGGCTTCGCGGCGCTCCACCTCCTGCTTGAGTTTTCGCTGCAGACGGGCATTCTCCTCACGAATGGACTTCTCCTCCAGTGCATACTGCTGCATCTTGATGGTGGTCTCCTTCTGGGCGGCAGCGAGATTGGCGCGCAGACGCAGCACTTCAGAGCGCAGGTTCTGGATGTGAGCGCTTAGGCTGGTGGCAGTGTCGCCGCCATTGGCGTGGGCATTGTTCGTGATGTCGCGCGGAGTGGTCGGATCAGAGACGGGCTGATCTAGCTTGATCTGCAGTGACCGCTTCTCGGTCTCCAGCTTGTCCATGCGCTTCCACAGCTTGTTCACCAGTGCCTCCTGCTCCTGCTCCAGTGTGTTCTCCAGCTCGACCATTTCGCGACGCAGCTGCTCGAGGTTGGTCTGCTTGTTGTCCGTCTCTGCCTGCAGCTTCTCGATCTTGCGCATCAGCTTGTTCACGAGGCACTCTTGCTCCTGCTCGAGGGTCTGCTCTAGCTTGCATTTCTCCTGCCGTAGCTGGTCCAGCTTACGGGACAGATCATTGGTCAGGCACTCCTCCTCGCGTTCGTAGTGATGCGCCAGTGTCTCCTTCTCCTTCTTCAAGGCCTGAATCTTCTTAAGCAGAGTGTTCGAGATGTACTCCTCCTCCTGCTCGGCTTTGGCTTGCTGTGGAGTTGAAGAAACCGATTTAAAATATGTTATCTTTTTCAAGGAATTCAAGTTTTACTAACAATTATGACCGAGGCCTGTTTGAGGCAGCGATTCTCCTCCTGCACCACCTTGCACTTGGTCTTGAAGGTGTCCAGTTCGGCTTTCAGCACTCTGTATATATAAAGACTCGCATTAGCAGGGAGAATGGGAAGCTAGAAGCTACAATACTCACTTGTTTTGCTGGGTGAGCGACTCGATCCGCTTTTGGAGCTGCTCCCGAGACACTGGGCTAGGTGGCAGCATGGTTCCGCCATCCAGGGAGCTCTCCGACTCACAAGGACTCTCCATGTCTGCAAAATGAAGGGTAAGTGACTTTTTTAAGCATATATTATAGGGAACCAATGTATGCAAGTCCGCAGAGTACACATATATGTATATATAATGTGTATATATGATATGTGGTGTCTGTTCTTTATTGTTTTATTCGGCGCATTCGTTGGCGAACAAAGAATAAAGAACGAAATCGGTCTGTGGCGCTGTGGTTTTGGCCCTGAACCGATAGAAACATTCAACCTTCAGCTGCGAGGTGCCTTCTACATCTGCCACTGATGCATCCGATGGCTTGATGCAATTTTTTCGGAAATCAATAGAAGGGCAAGGTCGGCGGCAGCAGAAGACCTGAAAACTGGCAGGCACCACCCACTCAGTGGGCCATCCTCCCCAGCTGCCGCCTCCTCCTTTCACCTCCTTTACTGTGTGAAAGCCGGTCGAAAATCTCGACTGGGTCTTTCCTTTCCGGATTTTCATGGTTTCACCTTTAGTTACCTGGCTTTTGTGTTGCTTCGTCGCCTTAAAAGACTTTTGCCTTCCGTCTCCTCCTCTCCTCCTTCCTTCGGCTTCGCCCTGTCCCTCTCCCACTCTCCCGCTGCACCTCTCCTTCACCGACTCTGTCTCACACACTGTGTGCCAGGGCGCTGTGGCTTTTCACGTTTTTCACACTTTTCCCCAACGCTGCGCTGCTTGGAGGGGAGCTATGCAATTTCGGAAGCTTCAGCGTCTCTTTAAGGCCTGCCGTCGCGTGTACGAAGCATTTTGCACGATCCGATCCAATAAAATTAATATCAAATTGCGAAAAATTGCTTCCACAGTGCAATAATGTGACCGTAAATGGGGCGAAATACCGAAAAAGCGCTCACCGAGAAAAGCCGCTAGCTGCTCCTGGCTGGTGATGGCAACTTGGAAAATACTGCTAGAGATGGGAACGTGACTTATTTTGGTATTACCATTATCAGGAGATATGAATAATTAATTCTATAGATCCCTAGATACCTATCACAGAATATACAAAATTATAAAATTTAGAATATTGAAAATAACTTTTATGGCTGATGATATTTAATAAATCGTGTTGTGACATAATTAGCGAAGAAGTAAAATAATACATTTATGATTTAACATATGTAGAGTTTTCCAGGAAAACTTTTCCTTATAAAACAGAATGACTGCAATTTCGGCAGCTGAAAATTATAGTTACTCTCTTCCGTTAGATTAAGGCCCACCGACCTCAACTGCAGAAAATGACTTTAAATTCTTTTTTTAATGTTGGTGTTAGTATTTAAATTTAGTGTTAACGAATTTCAGTATTATTCCGCTACTACAAATTCCCTTGATATATTCAAACTGTAAAAGGCGGTCACATTGTCCAACACGTGCGTAAACAGCGAAACGGTGAAGATAATTTTGATAATTTAAGCAATTTAAGCGCTCTAACGATGGCCGACGATGCCGGCCAGGACAAGCGCAAGCAGCACCGCGCCCCCCAGTCCGGCGTGAAGGCGGACAAGAAGAAGGAGAAGGCCAAGAAGGACTCTAACCAAAAGGAACCGGAGCTAACCGCGCGCCAACGGAATCCCAAGGCATTTGCCATTAATTCGGCACAGCGGGCGGAAAGGAACTTTCGGCGCAAGGAGGATCTTACGGCCAAGAAACAGCACATTCCGGTGGTAGATCAGACTCCAGATGAACCGCCACCGGTGCTCATTGCCGTGGTGGGCCCGCCCAAGGTGGGCAAGACCACGCTGATCAAGAACCTCATCAAGAGCTTCACCCGAACGAATGTGACGGATATCAAGGGTCCCATCACCATAGTGACCTCGAAGAAGCGCCGGATCACGCTGCTGGAGTGCAACAACGACGTAAACTCTATGATCGATGTGGCCAAGTGCGCGGATCTGGTTTTGCTGCTCTGCGACGCAAGCTATGGCTTCGAGATGGAAATATTCGAGTTCCTCAACATCTGCCAGGTGCACGGCATGCCCAAAATCATGGGTGTGCTCACCCACCTGGACATGATCAAGAACCCCAAGCAGCTGCGAAAGCGCAAGAAGGAGTTGAAGCATCGCTTTTGGACGGAAGTCTACGATGGCGCCAAGCTCTTCTACCTTTCCGGCCTGCTCCACGGCGAGTATTTGCGCAATGAGGTCAAGAATCTGGGACGATTCATCTCCGTTATGAAGTTCCGGCCGCTGCAGTGGCGCGGTGCTCATAGCTATCTCCTCGTGGACCGGGTGGAGGATGTCACGAACACAGATCGTGTGCGCCGCGATCCGAAATGCGATCGCGAAGTAGTCCTGTACGGCTATGTGCGCGGTGTGGCCCTCAAGCAGGAGCATATGGTGCATATTGCCGGCTTGGGCGATGCCCGCATCGATGAGTTGAGCGCCATTCCCGATCCCTGTCCACTGCCAGGCACGGAAAAGAAGCGCAGTCTGCTGGAGAAGGAGCGCTTGCTGTATGCTCCCATGTCCGGAGTCGGTGGCATTGTCTACGATAAGGATGCTGTGTACATTGAGCTGCAGGGCTCGCACTCGCACAAGGAGCAGGAGCAGAGCGCGGAGGCTGCGGAGCAGGCAGAACTTGTCAGCAAGCTGATTGACAAGAAGGCCACCATTGACGAGCAGATGGAACAGCAGGAATTCCGTCTCTTCTCCGATGCCAAGCCCATCAAGTCGAAGGATTTCCGCAACGACATTGAGGAAGAGGAGGCGGAGGAGGATAGCAGCGACGATGAAGAGGATGAAGAGGGCGAGGACTCCGGTTTGGAAGCTGCTGGCAGTTCGGAGGAGCAGGAAGAGTTCGATGCGGACGATTGGCGCGGCGAAAACAGCGAGGCGGAGGAGGAGGCTGAGGACTCTGATGCCGCTTCCTCTGGCGACGAGGAGTACCAAAGTCTAGGAGGCGTCAAAGCCGCCAACGAATCTGACTCGGACGATGAGGAGGCCCGTGTTATGGCCAGCAATATGAGCTGGAAAACGAACCTGGCCCAAAAAGCACGAGATGCCTTCCTGCAGCGTCACTCGGAGTCCAAGAACCTGATGCGCCTCGTCTACGGCGTCTACAATCAGAATGAACGCAGCCGACAGGAGGCGGAAGGCGAAGAAGACGCTGAAGACTCTGAGGAAGAGTTGGGTGGACTCTTCCGGGTGGCAGCTAAGAAGCAAAGTCAGCAGCAGAAGGACAAGGACATTCAGGATAAAGATGAGCGCTGCTTCTTCGAGTACCAGGGTGGTAAGTAGCTTTGTTTTTTAATTTATGGAGTTTATAACTGACCTGTAATCCCTTCCAGATGCCACCCGTGATTGGCTGTCCGAGGAGAACAAGGCCCTGATCAAGAACTGCTTCGTGACCGGCAAGTGGAAGGCCAGCGAGGATGCCGAGAATCTGCTCAAGATGGACGACATGAGTGATGCCGAGAGTGAGGTTTACGGTGACTTTGAGGACCTCGAGACGGGCGAGCAGCACAGCGGCAAACCCAAGGCAGAGGGCGAAGGAGAAACCGATGAAGAGGGTGCGAAGCCAGGGGAATCTGCAGGAGCTACCAAGCGCAAAATGACTCGCGTGGAAGAGGAGAACCTCACCAAGGCCGAACTAATGGCAAAGAAGCTCAAGCTGAAGGCCAAATTCGATGCGGAATACGATAACAGTGGCGAGGGCAAGGGAGAAGAGGACAATGGCCGCATCACCGGGGACCATTCCTTCTACGAGGACCTCAAGGCAGAGGCTCAGCGACAGAGTGAGCTGAACAAGAGTGAGTTTGCCCATCTGGACAACGAGTTTCGCATCCAGATCGAGGGCTACCGGCCGGGGCTTTATGTTCGCCTGGGATTCAAGCAGCTGCCCGCCGAGTTTGTGGAGAATTTCGATGCCAGCTATCCCGTGCTGGTCGGTGCCTTAAACATGACCGAGGAGAATGTGGGCTACGTCAACTGTAAGGTGAAGAAGCATCGCTGGTACAAGAAGATCCTCAAAACTGGCGATCCCCTCATAGTTTCGATGGGCTGGCGCCGCTTCCAAACGGTGGCGATTTTCGCCAAAGTGGAGGACAACTTCCGGCAGCGCTACCTCAAGTACACGCCCAACCACGTTACCTGCAGCATGACCTTCTGGGGTCCGATCACTCCACAGAATACGGGCTTCCTAGCTCTGCAGACGGTGCGCCAGGATCAGGAGGAGATGCAAAGGCTGGGCTTCCGGATAGCGGCCACGGGCTGCGTCACCGAGCTTGACAAATCCTCGCAGATCATGAAGAAGCTTAAGCTGGTTGGGCACCCCTTCAAGATCTACAAGAAGACCGCCTTCATCAAGGACATGTTCAACTCGTCGCTGGAAGTGGCCAAGTTCGAGGGCGCCAAGATAAAGACGGTGTCCGGCATCCGCGGCCAAATCAAGAAGTCCCACCACACGCCCGAAGGCTCCTATCGCGCCACCTTCGAGGACAAAATCTTGCTCAGCGACATTGTCTTCTGCCGCACCTGGTTCCGTGTGGAAGTTCCCAGATTCTATGCACCCATAACGTCGCTCCTCCTGCCGCCCGAGCAGAAGAGCCAGTGGCAGGGCATGAAGACGCTGGGCCAGCTGAAGCGAGAGCGGGCCCTGCAGAATGCCGCCCAGCCCGACAGCATGTACACGGAGATTGTGCGCAAGGAGAAGATCTTCCGGCCGCTGACCATACCCAAAGCCCTGCAGCGGGCACTGCCCTACAAGGACAAGCCCAAGCTGGGGCCCGAGAATCCCAAGCAGGCGCTGGAACGCGTGGCCGTGATCAACTCGCCGTACGAACAGAAGGTGGCCAAGATGATGAAGATGATAGCGACGAACTACAGGCAGAAGCGCAATCGCGAACGCCTGGAGACGAAGAAGCGCATCAAGAACTATCGGGAGCAGAAGAGCGAGAAGATGGCATCCAAGGAGCGGCGCCAGAAGGAGCTGCGCAAGAAGGTGTCGCGGGCCATAAGCAAGATGCGAGGGAAGCAGTCTGCCTAGAACTTTGTGTTTTCCGAGAAGGTAAGACTCCTTCTTGGATATTTTGCTGTATAGAAAATAGGTATAAACAAAATAAATAAATTTTAAATTTCAAAAATAAAGAAAGATATTTCAAAGTTTCCCAAGACCCAAATAATAGCTTAAATTTGACTACATTTCAATTAGAATTTACTCAACGCCCGCTCTTCCGACACTGGAGCAGTTACAGAAATCGGTGGCATAGCCTTCCGCCACCGTCTGCTGCAGCTGCTCCAGGAGGGAAAAAGCCGGTCTCAGTTTTTGGAAAATATATAGATAACGCAACACCGCTTAGGGACTAACTTTGTTGTGGGAACTAACATAGTGTGGCGCCCTAGTCCTGGCTCTTGTTGTCGTCGATCGTCTTCAAAGCGGCCAAGAGAGCATGCTTGCGGCTGCCGGTCATGTGGCTGCTGGCCGCCGCTCCGGTGGCAATGCTGTTCCGCTTCTTGGACGCCGGATCATCGCGCATATTGCTGTTGCTTGCCTGGCGGCAGAACGTCTTCAGGAAGCTCTCGCGTTCCTTGTAGTCATCGGAGATCTGCTTGCGCAGGCTGGACATGTTATCCTTGAGGCGTGGAGCCCGAATGCCGTTATCCTGGGACTGGAAAACAAAACAAAATACGGAAATTGTAAGTTAATATTATAGAGAAATTCCAAGTGCCTCGAAGACCTCACCTCTTCATCGCTGCGCATCGTGTTCTGGCCGTCCGTCTCCTCGTCCTCTTCCTGCGACTCTTCCAGCAGATCCCCCTCGCTGCTCTTGGCATCCAGATAGGAGGCATATTTCAGCAGGCTGGCATCGTTGGCATCACTGTGCTCCTCGGGATCCTCTGATCCCTGTTCGCACATCTTGGACATCAGCCCGTAGGCATCGGCATTGTCCTCCTCATCGCCGGCAGGCTCGTAGTCATCCTCGTAGTCGTACTCCAAGGACTTAAGCGACGCCTGCTTGGGCTTGCCCTCGGCGGAAGGTATCTTGATCAGGCCACCCGAATCTCGACGCTTGCTGGACGGAATGCTGTCCGTCTTGACAGCAACCACGCGGTGTCTTGCATTGCCACTCTTTCCAGTGGCGGTCAGTGGCGATTTTGCCTGCGCCGAGAGCACTTGGCTTAGGGTGGAGCGACTCTGGTTCGCGACCATCTTGGCCTTGTTGTTGGCCGGCGGCAAGGTGAGCTTTCCGCCACGTCCACCAGCTGTCTGTCGCTCCGGCTGGGGAGTCGGCGGGGTGCACGGCGCACTCTTGTCCTCCGCCTCGTCCTTCTCAAAGTCGAAGTACGTGTCCGACTCCAGGACATCCGTCAAGGCGTTGAACTCCATCTGGCTGTTCTTCTCGATCGCCTTGTCCAGCATCTCCAAGGATTTCTCCAACTTGTCAATCTTGTCCGGCTCCTCGCCTACGCCGCTTAACTTGGTGCGGCGGCCTGAGGACAAGGGATTCACCTTGTCAGTGCCGAGCTAGGATTAGATTTCCTATTTAGTTCCTGACCCACTCATGGTCCCATTTGTACTCACAGTGTATTCCTCCAGCTTGCGATAGCCGCTAATCTCGAGCTTGGACTTCTCCAGCTTCAGCATCACCTCTTTGCACTTCTTCTGCTCGTTAAGGAGCTGCTGGCGGAAGTTCTTGGACTCCAGCTGGATCTTGCGGGCCATCAGCTTCATGTCATTGTCCTTGTCCTCGAGGCGCTGCTCCAGGGATCGTAGCTTCTCCTGCAGCTTCTGGCGCTCGTCAAGGTTTCTGGATAAATATAGGATAAGGGATCAATTAGTAAGGAGCTTAAACAATAATAATTAATAATAAAAAATAAATTAAGCTACAAATCATTAAAAACACATACTTATCCTTGTTGAGCTGACTGTAGTGCTTGTTCTGATCGCTCAGCGACAAAATAATAGCTTCCTTTTGCTTTAGTTTCTGCTCCAGATCCTTGTTAATCGCCTGGAGATTGCGGTGCTTGGTCTGCCAGACGCGCAGCTCCTCGGCGTGCGAGTGCAGCAACTGTGGCAGCTCAGCGTTGTTGGACTCATATTTGTTCAGCGCCGACGACTGGCGGTTGTGGAGCGTACGAAGCATCCGGTTCTCATGCGCCAGATTGGCTATCTCCGCCTGGGCATCGGCCAGTTGGTTCTGGAAAGTCTTGGCGCGCAGATTCCTCGCGGACATGACACGCTGATGGATCTCACTGTGATTCTGTGCCGAGGCCACCATCGCTGGCTGCCGGAGACTACCGTTGCTGGAAGCCTTCATGCTACCACGATGCTGCTGGGGTGGTTGCTTCCGCTGATAGATCAAACTGGCCGATTCCCGGGAGCTGGCCGAGAACAGGCTCTCACAGCTTTTGGCCGAAGCTCTGCGGGGTGTAGTTGGAGGAAAAAAAGATTGGATTTCATTGGTGTCCTCCCACAGTTGGAGGAGGGTTATCTACACTCACGCCATCTGATTTTTTTGACTCAAGCGAGGTATTGCCGAGCTAAAGGATGTTGCCGGCTTGCGCGGCGATACCATCTAAGATCCGCCTCGTGCTCCGGAAGGATTTAAGGATGGCTCCACGAAGGCTATTTAATTTTTCAGAGCCTGATACGGATGTTTAGAGTGTAGGGTAGCAAATTGACACAGAGAGAGAGAGCTAGCCGGTGCGAGGCGATGCCGATGTAAAAATGTTACTGAAAAGCCTGTGACTGCTGCTGCTGCTGTGGTTACCCCGTTTGATGTTTGTTTATTGTTTGCTCCGCCGCCTGCTGCGTTGTTGGGGTTCAGTTTGGACCTTAGTCCTGGGTCCGGACCAGTAACTGGTTGTCATGGCGACGTCGATAGCTCCGACTATCGAATGGGGAAGTCATGTTCTTAGGGACAGCCCTCTAAAAGGGGTTTATTGGTCTAGAAAGTAATATTAATACAAGTCTTTAAATTATTCCAGGTAATATTAAATGGGTTTGAAGTGTAATAGTTAGTCTTCAGGATAAATAGCCTTAACCTGAACAAGTACTTCCCATAAAGTCAAAATATTGCTTGCAAGTATTTATTATCTATGCATTTAATATTAATAGGAAATGTTGTTTACAAACTAATTTCAACATTAAACAGTAACTGCAAATTATTAGCTCTAATAATATATATAAAATATGAATTATTATCAAATTTAAAACAATTGTAGCTTGTTTCTTTTGTGCACAAATAAAGGTTAGTGTAAGATAAGTAAGGAATTACGCTTTATGATGAAACTGAAGCTTGTTCAGCGGCACTAGCCTTCATCTTCTGGTACTTGATGCGATAGGTTCCCTCCGGATCGTAGATCTTCTCCAGTCGCTCCCAGTCCGTTGGTCGGTTGTCAATGAGATGGGTGGTTACCTTCTCGGCCCCGTAACGCTGCTTCTCCGTACATTTGGTGCAGTCGGTCATGATGGCATCGGGTAGGATTTCTACAAGGCATAATTATAATATTTTCAAACTAGAACTCTATCCTGCTGAATCTCACCCTTCAGCATCCTGCCATCGGGCGTACAGGGACCTGTGCCCTCCAAACACTTGATATAGTTGATCAGGAGCCGCTCTTGGTTCAGGATCTCATCCAGGTCCACGTTGTCGAACTTGTTGTCGTAGGGCGCCTCTACCATCGGCGCTGAGGAGGTGGCCGGGGGATGAGGCATTCCTTCCACGCGGCAGAGCACCGTGCACATCAGTGCCAAGGCCACAGATGCGTTCCACATGACCAAACGGAGGCTGGAGCGTCCCATTTTCAAGTAATCGTATGCTGTTAATACCTTCACTCACCTGGGCTTTTATAGGTGAACTTACTGACCTGCGTGCCTCAGTCCAATTTGGTTAATGCCCAATTGAACTTGAATTAAGTCAATTTAATTTGATTACCAGAAAAGTCCATGGAGTTAGCAGGCAAATGTATTTGAAACTGAATGGATTTTATTCTTATTTGTTGTTTTTTAAACAAAAAGGAGAAAACTATTAAAATAAAACTATAAAACTACTTTGCTATTAGCTTAAGCCAGAGTATATAGAACGTCCAGCAATGGATACTCCAAACAACAAAATTCAGAAACTTCAAAAACACTTGAAATATATAAAATTTTAAGTTTTATTTGGGAAAATTCAAATTAAAAAATTTTAAAAATAAAAAAGAGGTATATAAAAAATAAATTAAAATTCTAAAACCTATGAAACATTTTTAAGTGCACAAAAAATGAAGTTTAAAAAGGGAAGGAATCGTTAGCAATCGTTAGTCAGATTATAACGGTACTTTGTGGTTTTCTTCGACCTTGAAAAAGCTTAAAGAATAAAAAACACTTGATAGAATGTGTAAATAGCTTTGTTGTGCTGTTATATCAGCTTTATATGTTTATATTTTACTTATTTTTTACTTATACCGTTATATTTATCTGGGAATAACTTTCTTCAAAAAATGGCGCTTTCCTGTTTAGTGTTACCACATTTTATGGCATGGCAGCCCCACTGGCCCGGTACCTGCTAGCCGCAGTTTCAGAACGAGTTGGCAGGCCGCGTGATGCTGAGGCGCTTTCTTTTTCAATGAGTTTTCTTTAATTGCTCCATTTACGCAAGTAACCAAAATAGATGCAATTGCCCACATCCGGAAACATTGCGGCCTAGGCAACGCGTCCGCCATCCAGTGACTGCCCGTGGATTGGGTAACCGTGCGGGAAATGCCAAAAAGGCGACCATCTGCGCGGCGATCTCGATTTCTCGAACGTTTCGCGACGTGGGCGCCCCCGCCCCCAACACCAAGGACGACCTAGAAACGCCCAGACAGCGCCGATAATCTAGCACAGGTGACATCAGACCGGGAGAAGCACATCACCATGATCCACGTCGGGGAGAATTCGTGGAATCTGCGGATCTTCATCACGGATCTGGCGCTGGAACGAACGATGCGCGTGCGCGGTGACCAGCACATCGGTGGGATTATGCTGCAGCTGGTGGATCCGGAGAATCCCAAGGACTGGTCCGACCATGCGCTTTGGTGGCCAGCCAGGAACGTGTGGCTGAACCGGACGCGCCTAACGCTGGACCAGTGCGGCGTCCAGGCCGACAGCCTGCTGCACTTCACGCCCATGCACAAAATACTGCGCGTGCAGCTGCCGGATCTGCGGTATTTGGACTGTCGCGTGGACTACTCCGTAAAGACCTTCGCGGCGGTGGTCAATCTGTGCAAGCAGCTGGACATTCGCTATCCGGAGGAGTTGTCGCTGTGCAAACCGCTGGAGGCGGAGCACCTGAAGCGGAACTTTGCCCAGCTGCCGCACCAGAAGCGAGTGGCCATCGCCGAGCCGGATGGCACCAGCTATCTGCAGCCGGCGGCCGATACCAACTCGTTTGTGCCCATCAGTGCCTCCTTTCACGGTGAAAGCGGCGGCAGTACTGGCAGCCTGGACAAGCCCTCGGCGCCGGGATCCTTTTTCTGCGCTCCGCTGTCGCCGCACAATCATAGCAGAGGACGCTCGCCCATGGCCTCGGCCTCGCCATCTCCGGGAACGTGGAAGCAGAGCCAGTTAGGTTACGCCACCTACGACTCGTCGTCATCGAGCTTGGGTGACTTTCAGGAGAATTTGGCCAGCTCGCCGCCCACGCCATGCTCAGATGTCCGGGCACAGCAGTTGCGCCCCAAGTCGCTGGTGGAGAAGGCGCGCCTGAATGTCGGCTGGCTGGACTCATCGCTGTCCATCATGGAGCAGGGCATCCGGGAGTACGACACGCTGTGCCTGCGCTTCAAGTACTTCACCTTCTTCGACCTGAATCCCCGCTGCGACCAGGTGCGCATCAACCAGCTGTACGAGCAGGCCAAGTGGAGTGTCCTCAACGAGGAGCTGGACTGCACCGAGGAGGAGAGCCTGATGTTCGCTGCCTTGCAGTTCCAAGTCAACCATTGCGTGGACTCGACCCCCACGAGCGGTGGAGCCGTTGATTCGGGCATTGAGACGTCCAGCCAGGAGAACGACAACGACGATGAGATTGACTCGGCGCTGAAGGAGCTGCAGATCACTCTGGAGGGACCGAATGGCGGAGATTCGGTGAATATTACGCGCATCCCCGAGCTCTCCGACTACCTGCGCTACCTGAAGCCGCAGAGGTTCACGTTGCGTGGCTACAAGCGCTACTACTTCACCTACCGGGATCTGCACTTGCATCTGTTCAAGAACGCCGAGGAGTCGCGTCGCGTGGCTCCGGCTGTCAGCATCAACCTGAAGGGCTGCGAGGTCACCCCCGATGTGAACCTGTCGCAGGGCAAGTACGCCATCCGACTGGAGGTCTCGCCGGAGGGCCGGCACGGGCCCAACAGCGAGGTGTGGATACGCTGCGAGAACGAGCAGCAGTACGCCAAGTGGATGGCGGCCTGTCGACTGGCGGCCAAGGGAAGATCCCTGGCGGATAGCTCGTACGAGAGCGAAGTGGATGGAATACTGTCGCTGCTGCAGATGCAGCGACCGGTGCACGGAGTCCACCTGAGCATCGATCCGCGGTCCGTAGAAGCCGGGGACTACCTGTCGCCCAAGACCCTGCGCCGGCTGTCCAACAAGGCGGTGCAGCGGATCCTGGAGGCACATGCCAACGTCCGAGAGCTGAACGCCTTGGACTCGAAACTGAAGTACATACAGGCCTGGCAGTCCCTGCCCGACTTTGGTGTCACGCTGTTCATCATCAAGTTCGACGGGCACCGCAAGGAGGAGCTGCTGGGCGTGGCCCACAACCGGATCATGCGCATGGACCTGAGCTCGGGGGATCACGTCAAGACCTGGCGCTATAACGCCATGAAGGCCTGGAACGTCAACTGGAACATCAAGTGCATGATGATCCAATTCGAGGACGAGAACGTGGTCTTCTCCTGCCATTCGGCCGACTGCAAGGTGGTGCACGAGTTCATCGGCGGCTACATCTTCATGTCGATGCGATCCAAGGACAACAACCAGATCCTCAACGAGGAGCTCTTCCACAAGCTGACGGGCGGTTGGTCCTAGGAGCTATTTCTTTCGAATTTTATCGTTTCACCTACTTGTTCGTTTGAATTTTGTAAGGATGAAGCCAATGTTATAATATATGATATATATTGTTGACCTGACCCGTGGCCTCGATCCGCGCTAACCAACTGATAGACTCACAACTTCAATGCAATCTCGTGTTTTCACGTTCAGCCTACCACTTATGTAATTCGTTGTAAACTAATCTTGTTGATGATTTTTAACCGCGAAAATCGCTTGCCAAAGGCCTTTTTGCCTGCCTAACTCTAAAACAGACTTAACCGTGGCCTTTGCAATGTTTTTGTATGACTAACTTTTAAGGATACAATAAATAAATATGCCTTACAATATGAACAAAGCGTTTTTATGGGTTTCTGGTGTTATAATTGTTATTAAAATATTTGTTTCACATTAACGTTTCATCAGAGTGCGCTGACAAATATAGTACTGCGGTTGTGTGCAATCTAAATCGTTCATCAGACGTAAGGGACCATGTCCAAAGTTGTCGCAATGTTCTATTCCATATCTGTTGTTAGGCTCTCCGGGGTGCCAAAGATCTAATGCAACTGGCTTCCCACTTGGGAACCAAACGTGACGACCTAAAGTCAGAAAATCGTTTCCAGAAGTCCAGTAAATGTTTTTATCTTGTTGACTGTCCAGGTAACTATTGATAGCTTTGACTTTCTCTGTAGTGTCGAGGGATATCAAGCTGTAACCCATTCCCTCGCAGTATTTACGGGCTCCAAACCAGTGCGTTTTTATTTTATTCTCAATTAAATATAGTGTATCGCCTAGAAGAATCTGGCTAGATCGCGCTATATTGACAGATTTTAAGGTTTAAGGTTTATCACGAGCCACTTATAACTCTTTCAAGCTTATCAGAAGAGTGCCCTATTATTGTTTAGTGTAAACCATATTATCAACTAAGTTAAAAAGTAATCAATTATTATTTATAACAAGCTCAAGAAAAGGTACGATACCTTATCAATCTGGATTGCAATTTATATAGATTTCCTTTCCTTTGTTCAGATGCTTTTGATTTGTTTTTATTATTTCTTTTCCTAGCTTTCCCAGGAATGTAAGGGTTTCCAAATAGTTCCTTAATAATCCAAACACACGATCTTTAAAATCGATACATTATCAAATCTACTTAGACTTAGGTTTAATGTCACCCAACCCTTTAAACCTACACATATTCCTACACTACTATTAAAACAATACCGAACACAATATAAAATATAAAAAAAACACTAACAAATGGCGGTTAAACGAGCCCTCGACGCGGAAGTTATCAAGCAAAAGAAGGTCCTGCGGATACTGCGCTTCCAGAAACTCGTCCGCGCAGTCATCATGAACCAGGCTTGGCTTTCCGATTCCGAGGAGCAGGGCATCTCAATGAACGTGAAGAAGAACGTGGCCCTGATGCGGCAAAAACGCAAGCCGGGCATGCTGACCATGGCGGTAAGTTGGAATCTATTTACCCATAGAATCCGATGACATTACTTAAACATTAACTTTGCAGGAGAAGGCCTTAATGCGATCAAATCCCAAATACAGGACTATCGAGGACCGGAAGAAACTTTGCCTGCTTGTAGCAGGACTGGAATGCTTCTCTAGAATTCCGCCGGTAATCGCTTTTGGTTTGTTTTTCTATCTAAAAGTTACCTGTAAACTGGTTAAATTTTTAGAAAATTCGTGCTCGCATGGCGCCGATTCTTGAGTTTATGTACGTCAACGAATCGCGAGTGATTATAGCGGAGGGAGACACGCCCATTTCCGTTTATTTTATACTAAACGGAGAGGTCGAAATGAAGAAGAACGTCTACAATAAGGCAAGTTTCCATATTAACTACGATTTTAGGCCCAAAGAAATAAAGGTATTTTTATATTTATTTGTTTTCCAGACTACAAAAGAATGGACTGAAGTGCCAGAGGCAATATTCGGTGCTGGCGACTGTTTTGGCGATGTCGAGATGACTGAGTCTTGCCCTAGAATGAATACCTATACAGCCATGGGTAAGAAATTCCACTTATTAATAGTCATTAAGACCAGGTTATGATTAGAATTAAAAAAAAAGAACAAGGCACACAAGGAATCCTTGCAGGTTAACTGGAAGTAAGGTTGAGTTATCTAGAATTTGAAAATGGTTTCTGGTGAATATGATAAGGACTTCCGGCACTTTCTAGTCTTATTGTTTAATTTAAAACTTAAAAAAATATTCTTTTACAATAATTAGGCTTAAGAATTATTCATTTAACTTTCTTCTGCTTATTTTTTTAGCTGGCTGCGAATTGCTGGCTATCTACGACTCGGATTACGAACGCATTTTAAAGCCTTTTATGTTGAAGCAATGGAACGAGAAGAAAATGGCGTTAAAGGCCTTCGACTACTTTAATTTCTTTACCACAGAGCAGGTCTGTGGCTCTAATAGAGAGTCCATAATTACAATGTAGATTTATAATTTATAGATTATACTCGCCTGCAAGTATGGCGTTCTGGCCCAGTACGAACCCTTGGACACAATTTACTTGGGCGAAACGGGCTCCTTGGGCTACGCTCGCTTCGTTCTGAGTGGCGAATGCGTCATTCTGCAGTGCCTGAACATGAAAGTAGATAAGATTAAATTTAAAAATATATATTTTTAATATTTAAATATTTTGAAATTCTCTTAGGTCGATAACAAGGACGGGGAGACCACTTTTGAGCTGGCTGCCATCGATGCGGAACAGGAGTTAACCATGTTTAGGTCAATGGGCCTACGCAGTCGTTCAAATATTTCGGACATTGCAGACCTCTTGGCCTCGTCATCCTCCTCCGACGATCCGAGTGGCGGCAAGAAAAAGAAACAGACGGTATTTGTCTGCTTTATCCTGGTTTTTTTTTCGTTACGAAAACCTTTCCTTTCCGCCCCAAACAGATGCGCCATATGAATCTGCAGGATATTGAAAAGTTCTGCGGAATCGGCCAGGAAGTACGCAAGCGAAAGATACGGGAGAAGAAAACGTTAACTCCAGCTGCGCAGGCCAGGAGATCGTTGCTGATTCAGAGCCTGCGAAGAGGCACTCCCTACAGTCCAGTTATCCTGGACGACGATCTGGCTTCCGAGGAACAGGACATGGACCTTGATTTCGATGATGATGAGGATGTCTCCGATATCGACTCCAGTTTCTCCTCGTACGATCGAGTCCTTGATGCAAATGTTGTGCAATTGCAGTTGGGTCGCCGTGCCGATAGTGATGAGACGTCGAAGGGGAAGTCGAGTGCTTCTTTAGAAATTTTCAGTGCCAGCTCCGTGACCGAGGAAAATAGCAGCGCTGACTCATCACCCATCTCGGTAAGTTCTTGGTCATGATCCTTATTGTTATTATTTATAGAGTATAGACTTCGAGACTCGAAAGATCTAGAAACAATTGTTTCGCCTATGCCAACAGATTGTCAGTAACGATCATCAATATTTTTAGCTTTGTCTTTTATTATACTGAAAACAAAATCAATTATCTATTAATTGATTCCTGATTAAATAGGTTTACAAGGATCCTATCGAGACCCACTTCATAGATGTGGGCTCCCTCACATACGGCAGCATCTTTGGTCTGGGTGAGAAAATGGAACATCGTGTGATAATGGCGCGGACTGTAGTACAGTGCCTGCTCCTGCCACGCTACTGGTTACTGGAGGAGGAGCAGAACCCGGGCAACATATGGAACCGGCGACGTTTCTACTATGAATGCAATGTACCGTCACGACAGGATCTGTTTACCAACTTCCTGAAGACAAGGAAGTGGAATAAGTTCCGACACGATTATATCCAGAACCTGCTGGACGAAAAGACCAATGCCCACATCTCCAAGGAGGAAGATATCCCCATTATGTGTCGCATCGTGGAGACCAGCGATGATACAGTATAGACCTTGCTCCAGTAAGTCCTAATTTGAAATGCTTTGAAGAATCTCCAGTTAAATAATATGTAAACTTTAAATTCGAATGGGTATCCAGAAAAACGATCATAAACTTTAAACAATAAATATTTACCAATATTAATATTAATATTATTGAATACATTTATTAACCAGATTTTAGGTGCAGAAATAAATAAGAAAGAGCAAATATTGGGGAAAGTTAACACGGCGTATGCGTAATTTACTTTAAAGCTTTTTTATTCCATTTTAAATAAATATATAACAGTACTTGTAATGGTTATAAAAATGCCTTGCAATATTACGTTTTTGTATGCATTTAATAAGGCATATTAATTTTACCACACCTGATACTTTATTGGAAAATATATTATATTCTGTTTAGTTTAAAGCACGTTCACAGATAAAGTACCTTGTAACTGTGCAATCTTTATCATTCATTAGTCTAGTTCCATCATATCTAAGTTCGTCGCAATGTTCCACATCAGCAAGATTGTTAGGCTCTCCGCGATGCCAAAAATTTGATGCAACTGGCTTTCCACTTGGGAACCATACATGACGACCTAGAGTCATAAAATCATTTCCTGAAGTCCAATAATCAAATTTATCATTTCGATTGTCCAGATAACTTTTGATAGCATTGAATTTTGCAGTAGTGTCGAGCGATAAAAGGTTGTAACCCATGCCCTCGCAAGATCTACGGGCTGCAAACCAGTTCTTTGAAATTTTATCCTCAATGTAATACATGGTATCGCCAATAAATATAAGGTTAGTTGGTGCTATATTCACAGATTTGGAAGCGACTAGAAAACAAAAAAAAAACAAATCAAGAAAAGGTTCAAATAAGAAAGAATAAGTTGTCTTACCAACTGGTTCTTCACTAGCTGCTGATATATAAATCAGGCCCAAGAGGACCAAGAGTGTTCCACACGGTTTAAGCATTTTGACGATACTGTTTTGGATCCTCCTAGAGTGTTCGCTTTTATATGTATTTTATATGTTAGACAAACAATTGTTAAAAAGATTTTCCCTTATCAATAACACTTGATGAGAAAGGAAGCAGCAAGTAGTTTTATAACGGAAATCTTTGAGTCATGAGTCTTATCTATCTCAATTGGAAATTTAAAGATAATTTTATTACATTTCTCAGGAAAAAAATGTTCAATAAATGTTAAAATGTATATCGTATTTATACCTGGTATATTATTAGCAAGCAAATCTGTTTAAATATTAACTAAAATATATTCAATAATCTGTGTGAATATACAGAAGCTTAGGCTTAAGGCTTATTCATATATTTCACACGAATTTTATAATTCAGCTTTATGGTTAAACCGATTATTTTTTCAGGACAGTATGTATAGTAAATTACTTTATTATTGAATAATAAATAAAAAGAATAATTATATATTCTGTGGTCGAGTCAAGTCTATTCAATTGTAAAAAGCAAGGATACTTAAGGTTTCCAGCTTTCTTTTTTAATTTCAAGCTTAATTTTAGAACTTTGGCGCCACAGTGTGCAGTGTGGCCTTAGCTTAGCACTTATCGATAAGTTACTATCGTCATTACTGCTGCAACTCCATATTGGCGCCGGCTTCGTTGTCATGGAAACAAAAGTTTGATTTTAACACTCCACATCCAGACTATACCTAAATTTTCGTCTGTTTTATGTGTCTTGACTGTTATTTCCGTGTACTTAACCGTGTTACCCCGGCTGGGAGGCTAGGGAAATGGATGAACCGGACGAACCTGAACGGCAGGCGATGCGGACGGCGTACGAAGTGCAACGGGACTTTGGCTACAGCAGTGGAATCCGTTCCGAGATTATTTGGGATTCGTAGGTTATGCAATTGTTTCCTGTAACCTTACTCCTATGGTCTGTCCCCAGACTCACGCCCGACCAGGCGCCAGTGCTGATGCAGAAGATCGAGAACCTGATCCCGGAGGACGAAGCGCGGAACGCCAAGGCTTTGAATCGTCAGCGGCAGCAGGTCTTTCGCAATGTCTGGCAGCAACGGCGCTTCACCAACGGCACCCTCCTGTCCGCCATCATCTACGTGCTGGTCACGCCAGAGACGGACCCGGAGCTAGCCCTGCAGTCCACCAACTACAGCTGCCATCCCGTTTTCCGGACGCGCCGCTGCATGAACGGCGAGAACAGCGCCGCCTGCTGCATGATCTTCGTGGACGAACACGGACGTGTGTACTCCAACTGGCAGCAGTTTGTGTTCCGCAATACCCTGCCCAGGGGGACTATGATTGCTCCCAGTCAGGGCATCTACACCTTCACCAATGACGATGACGAGCCGGGTGTCCAGCTAATGGTGCACCCCACGCCAGCTTCGTATGGTCGACATCGCTTGCTCAGTGCCGGCGACAAGGTGGCCTCTGTGGGTGGATTGGTGGCTTCGGTTCCGGTGGCGGCTGCTCTGGCCGTGCCCGTTGCAGCTCCTCTAGCCATTGCCGCCACCGCTGTCTGCGTGGCCACGGCCGCGTACAGCACTCTACGCTCAGCATCACATCTCATCGATCGGCGGCGTCATGGACAGAGCACCTGCATCACGGACAGTGAGGCTCGCAGCTCCTGGCTGGGCGTGGCGGGCGGCGTGGTCGGATTGGGTGCCACGGGAGCCACAAAAGCCTTGGCCTCGGTGGCAGGAGCAGGTTATAGCATCAATCCTGCAGCTCAGTTGGCCGTCAAGGGCATCAATGTGGGCTCAGTGGTCATTTCCGGTACGGGAGTGATCAACGGCGTCTACGATATGTATTTGGTAAGGTTTTTGTAAACTAAAATGTTGATATTTAGTAAGACTTGATTGGTTTTCCTCTTTTTTTAATTAGAAAATAGGTGACGATCAGGCCATTAACAGCCTGGACATGTTGCAGATGGCCTCGCACCTGGTGATCTTCACGCATTCCATAAATAATTTGCGTATAGCTTCCAAGGCCACCAATGGCTCCAATCTAAGACGAGCTTTACGCAATCAATCTCGGTAGTTAAATCCCTTGTTGTTTCTTTATAAACTTACTTAACATCTATTTTCGTCCTGCAGCAAGGTCTTCGATCGCATCTCGCAGGAGTCCACCAAGCTGCACAGCAGCCAGGCTGGAAAATTCGATATTGTACGTACCCTCAACGACATACCCTTCAAGGAGACTCTGCTCAGCCTGCACAATCTCAACTCGAACCTGAGTCAAGGCGTGGCGGCGGTCACAACTCTGCTGCCACAGATCATAAGCCTGGGCAGCGGTGGTCAACTAGATCTGGAGGCGCTGGCGCAGCACTTTGGCCGGAAGTTCGTGCAACACATTGGCAATGTGTCCAACTTGACGGATGTCCTGGAGGCCTTGGCCAGGTATTTTAGCGACAAGGCTGTGCAGTTGCTAATGGAAATGACACGGACTTTTCTGGAAAATAATGTGGACTCCATTGATCGAACCATGAATACGTTTATATCGACCGAGACGGTGCTCTTTAGGATATTAATGCACTCCGTTACTACTTTTGATAGCTTTAGCGAGGACTTTCTGCAGAGCCGGCGACAGGAGATCCTATCAATGGTCTCCAAATACTTTAGGTCCTTGGAGTCGGTTAATAATGAAAATTGTCGGAAGTACAAGTGCGCCGTGTGCAAGGGCGCTTATTATATAAGTCGCATATAGACTTGTGATTTCATCCTTTATATTTTTTGATACTTAATTTCCGTAAACTTTTCTGATATGTGGGACGTATGCTTTATTTTGTAAGCCACTTTCCTAGTTCGCGTCTTGTTTAATGTTTTCGTAATAGATAAAATGGCAAAAATCTCATGTAATTATATTTAGTCCAAGAGCCCAAAGTGTCATCCAAGCAGAATGTGCTGTGAAAAATCCCAGGATATTATATTTTTGTAGAATTTAAGTTCTTATAAAGAGTAATTTTTATTCAACTAAATGCCTTGGCCTATAAATAGTGTATGTGTTGGGTTGAGTCCCTCGTACAGTGGGAGCCACAACTAAGGTACTCTATAAGAGTGAGCGCGACTTGTGCCAGAATGTACAACTAAGCTAACCTATGGACGGATGAGTTGGTTGAACGAATAGCTAGCAGAAGAACTCTTCCTCGCACACGTTAAAGCAGCAGTAGGGTATGTTGTTGTAGCTGCTGGAGGAGTGATCTCGCTTGAAGCGCTGCTTCTTCTCGTGGTGCAGCTTCTTGGGCTTGTAGCGCGGCACCACATCCAGCTCGCTGAGGCGATGAAAGTGCTCCCGATTGACCTTCAGATAGCCGCCCATCGGGAAGCTGCTCCGGATGAGGTAGTGATGCTTGTCGTACGCTTTGCCGTCTAGAAAGGAAAACCAGAAAGGGGGAAACGTGAGCGAGTGAGCAAATTGATCTTGAACCTGCGCCTTGAAGTCGGTTAACTGTTGCATCGGAACTGCTTTGTGTATGCAAATGAATATTGATTTTAATTCCGAAGTCTACACATTTTAAAACGTGTTTTCGGCCACTGCAGTTCCGAATGCAATTATCTGTCTGGAGTTGACTGACACCCTCTGGCCTTAATCTCTCTTTAGTTTCTGTTTGGGTTCTTCAAGATACTTACATCCCAGCCGATTTAGATGATGGTGCGAGTACTCAATGGACCGCCTGTCCCTCCGCGCACTCTCGTCCTGCTGGAACAGGTGCTCGCAGGCCTCCATGGCGAACTTCTTCATGCGCTCCAGAGAGCAGTAGCTGCTCGACGCACTGCCCGACGAGCTGTCCACCAGGCAGCACACTCCGAGGGCAATCAGCAGCGTCCAGCGGCACAGATTGAACTGCAAGGGGGAGGAGAGTGTTGAGTTAATTCCAAGTTCCAAAATAAACCTTTCGATTTTTAAATTTAAGTCCCCGCTGACGCTCTCAGAATTTATGGCATAAGTGTTACAATGTTCCTCTAACCGGCTGCACTCTGCTCTGCCGAATCTGGATTAACCGCTTTGGCTGACGACATTGGCAGGACGCCGGGATGACGTTGTCGGGTTCGCCGGGATGCGGCCCATAAACTGGGTCAAAATCGAAACAAGATGTTCGAAAACATCGAAAACTGGAGCGCATTTGCAAGTCGACGCGGCCAAATGGTCAAAATTTAATTGCCGCTTTTAATGACCGAAACTTCCCCGACATTACAGAGAGTGGAAATTATGTAATGCGCCGATGCCGCCGCCACGCCAGGTAGGCATTTCCGCATTTTGCATTTAACATTTCGCACTTGGCGACTGTTTAGCACACTCGCTCCCATATAAATCCGATCGTCGGCATTATGCTTGCGGTCGGACTTGAGCTTGAGCCAGTGGAGAGAACAAAAGCGCACTTGTTGTTTATTTTGATATTTTTAGCTGACAGCCGCCCGTCAATTACAGCACACACCCACTTTTTTCGGGCTCATTGATTAATGCAAGCAACTAAAGTTTTATTTTTTTTTTTTTTAGATTAGAGTTGTAATAATTAAAGTTTTCAGTTTACTATAGGAATTGGGAAAAGTTAAAGATGACTTAGAGGTTTGCTTGTATCCCTAGTAGATTCTTATTTCAAGGCTGATTTATAAAACACTTGTAAACATATTTTTTATTATATTCTAAGGAATTATTCTACATATCTATAAAGGAGTTTTCTATTTAAAACCCAATTTAACTTTATTTTAGTTTTACTTTATCTTCGTTTTAATAAACTTAAAACTGTAAATGCTCTCCAATTTAATATACTTTATTTCAATGCTGAATGGTAATAACTTGAGACCTTATATTTTTATATTGTAAGGAATCTATAAGGATTTTTCTATTAAAAAACTCAATTTAACTAACCATAAACCCTTAAATGTTATCCAATTTAGTATATTTGTACATTTAAACTCTGTAAATTCTCACCTTTGAATCCATTTTAAATCCGTTCTAGGATCAAAAGAGTCACAGAAGGTGCCACACTACGTATACGTGTTTTTGGCGGGCAAATTGAAATATCCCAGCGAAGAAATATAATAAACTTGGGCGAAGAACGAAAACGAATGCGAATAACTGGCTTTTGGGCTCGCAACGAATAAAGCCGACTGATAAGCACGAGTGACGAGCGCACAATGAAAGCTCGCCCGAAGCCGCTTAGCTTTTTATACGCGCATGCAAATCGAGGATCGCAGCTTCGGATCGGCTCAGGTTGACTCGTCGTCGGCTTCCCCAGGTTCTCGACGTGCTCTTTTTCGGCCTTTTTAATGGGGGATGGAGCGATGGAGATGGAGAGAATGCAGCCAGGAGTTTTGCGTAAGCGGCAAGGGCGGCGCACCTTTCCAGGGCATTTCAGGCATTTATATATACCTCTATATATGTTTATTTTTTAATCAATGGACGTCAGGAGTTGGCTTTTATAGTTGGTCCAGTGCCGTGTCGGCGCCACCTTCAAATCTTCGTCATCGATTTCAACATAATCGTTATGGTTTCTGCGAGCTGACTCACCTCCAAGCAACATGTCATGATGATGGCCTAGCTGCCTTTGATTAAAGACCTGGCACAAAGTTGTTTACGGTGTTATCAGACACCTTGGACGTGTAATAAGGTAGTAATTGAACGGATTTGGCGGTCACCAGCAGCAGCACCTCTTGACGACGTAGTGAAAGTTCAAAATGTTCACATGTCAACGCTTGATAAGTTGGTACAATTATTTTTATTAGAAACCATAGTGTTGCCATAAATTGATAAAACAATAATCAATACAATTCAGAAGTTCATTGGGATAATAAAGACAGAACAGAATAAAAGAACATGCTATATATAATAAACATAAATCTAGGCATTTTACTCAGAAATCAATATTTTTTAAGATTAGAATTCTAACTGAATTTATGGCATTTGAATGGTGATTTGTTCGAATTACTAAATAACTTTTGTCAATATTATTGAATATTTTACAAAATTAACTAAAATTATAAGCAGTTTTTACTGGTTATATATTTCCTTTGCTCTTCTTTGAATGCTGTTTTAACTGCAACATGCGAGTTTACTCTAGATGAATCCAAAAACCTAATGAAATTATTAAAATGCTGGTTTTTGGAAACCATAAAAACAGACTGAGATGGCGAGGAGAGAGGGGATAAACCTCTTACTGTCTAAATGTGTAAATAGAAAATGTATATAAATATGTAAAAAAAAAAATAAAATTTAGTTTACATAATATAAGTCATCTAAAGAAGTATAATTCATTAAAAACATTAGGTAAATGTCTTTAAATAAAAATCGAACTCGAGAAGATATAACTCATAAGTTATGAGTCATAACTAAGCTTGATAAACATTATTACACTTAGTTACAAAATATATTAATCCAGAAGACTGAGTTTACAACTACTTTAAATAAAATGAGTATTTTAGCTCGAAACGTTTCTTTTAAGGAAAATTAAATGCATTTAAAAAATATTTAAGTGCATACCTGATAATAAAAACTACTACTACTAAGCTAAAATTTAAAAAATTAGATGTTAAAATGTGAAAGAACTCCTTAAAATTGTTAAACTACAATAGAATATATGATTTATCTAATAGATAAAAAAAATAATTTGTACTAACTAAAACTAACCCCCAGCAAGACGTACCTCCTTCTGATTATTTCTACAGAACTATAGCTTTGTAAACATTAGCAGCAACAAGAGAGAGTGTGTACCTTGATTACAGGTTTTTCCCCTATACCAAAGGTTCTAGAAAAGAGAGCGAAAGTGAAGGCGGTGAGAACCACTTTCACTCTCGTTTCAGGGTTGTGTCTCTTTCATGTCATTTGGCTCTCTCTCCATTACTCTTTCCCTCCTCTCATTCTGGCTTGGTGTGACAGCATCTCTTGACGTTTCCCACTGACATTGAGCACTTAACGGTTGTTCTGTATCGTAAGAGATCGGGCGTCATCGTCGTTAGTTCTTATTTTGGAAGCTCCTTTCAGATCGCGCCTTTACAGTATTTTTAGCCGCTCTCTCGGTCAATGCACACTTTCGGCCGAGTTTTTTATGGGCTTCGTTTTGGTTTCGTTTTTATTTTCGTTTTTCGTTGTCGCTGCTGCATTCCCGATGCGGAAACGTTCGGCCCCCGGGGCGTATGCGCAACGCTGCGACGCAGTTGCATTTCGCATGCCGCGTTTATCACGTCGCGGGAATCCTTTGGAATTTGCGCATTCCCGTGCCGCCACAGTCGTCGCAATCTAACGGTACACCACGGATCGGAGCACGGTCACGTTCTGGGAACCAAGAGGTATGTTGGCTAAAAATTCGCCCGCGGAAATATGCGGCACTTAATTACTGCTGATGGCTGGCTCCACGGGCCACTCGACGACTCTCATTCATAAATACAATTTCACAACCTGATTTAAGAATCGCGCCACTTGCGCCATGTCAACGATCTCCGAGTGGAGGGAGGGAGATGGCTTACCTGACCCTACCTGGGCATCGAATTCACGTCGCTCTGATTGCCGAAAAAAACAACATAACATAAGTCCAGCGACCAAAAGCATAAACCACAAACTGGTTTCTAATAGAATCGCCGGGGCCACCGTCGATCTGATATTCGTGCAGTCTAGACGAGGGCATGGGCATGGGCATGGATCCTTGCCTTGGCAACAGAAGAAAAGAACTGGGAATGTCGCTTCTTCGTCTTCCGAGAAGATCTCTGTGTGGACAGGACAGGAGACGGACAACGGGAGGACAGGACCGCTCGATGGCAGAGCGTGTGAGCTAGTGTTTTTGTTTTGATGCCCATCCCATCGCCTGTTCCTTGAACTGAGGGCGAAAGTGGTGCGTCACGTCATCATCTCCGGTGTCTGACTTTGCCGGCGGCTTTGTCGTTCACCTTTGCCATCCTCATCCTTGTTCACATCTCCTCTTCTTGTGGCTCCTTTTGGTATGCCAAAGGGTCTTCCGTTGCGCCCCGAGTTCAAAAAACTCTGCGATTGCCTCGCAGCGATCGCATTTCAAATTAGAAACTCTTTTTTTGGGGGATCCGATGGCACATGGCCATGGCTATTCAATGCTCTTTCGTTTTTTTAGAGGTTGATTAGGGGTTTTACTTGGTTAAACAGTTAAAGTTAAACCCATAATTAAATAAGGAAAAGTTAATCCCTAAGGACTGTAGTTTAATCAGTCAGCATTCCGATGTTTGAGAGGTATAAAGTACTTATTGTTCGGGGTAACGTTAACTTTAATTTCAATCAAAGGCTTTATGGTTTCTTGTGGGATAAACACATCAATTTGGAATTGTGTGTTTAATAAGCACTTTCTTATCGGTCGATTTGACTAACCTGCACTTTAATCTTAACTGTCAATTACTCACGGTTTCAAAATATAATTATACGATTAATCAAATCGATTAAAAAAGAAAACATTCAATGGAATTTCTTTTCTCTAAGTTTGTTTTTCGCTTAGCCATGACGGTCTTATAATTAAATTATTCGAGGAGATTCTATGTAAACGACAGTTCAATACACTTTTCGATGTACAGCTGTGTTCACGGAAATAGCAGTGCCCAACGACCTGCACGTTTAAGATCGGAAAATCCTGTTACAAACACTATTTTCATAATTTTTTTTTTCATAAAAGCTTAGTATATTTAATTATTAACAATACCACAATCATTTAATTTAGGTAACATAAACCCTTTAGAAGATATAGCTAATATCAACAAAAAAGGTCTATATTATGCCGATCATTGAAATAGCAGTGAAAAACTAAAATTCTTCATAAATTTAAAAATATCGTATAAGAAACCTATTTCTTCTTAAATTCTAATTGACTATGATCTAATATTTTGTTAAATAGCCTTTAGAAGCTATCATAGCCTCATACCTGGGTGGCAAGGAGTCCACCAAGTCTTAGAAACGCTTGAGGGGAATATGGCCTCATTCCTCCTGCACAAATTGCCAAAGCTGCGGCTTAGAAGTCGGAAACTTCTTTAATACGTAGCCCTTGATGTCCCCCATAAGTTTTCGATCGGATTTATATCCGGGGACTGTGCAGGCCATGGCATTGCATCCACTTTTTCATTAAGAACCCACTCCTTGGCCACCTTGATGGTATGATTAGGGTCACTGTACTGTGGAAATGTCCAAATTAATGGCATATTTTCCTCAGGATACGGCTGCAAGACAGTTTTTAATATTTGGACATAAACATAATGGTCTTTGATCCGACAGATCATATATACGGGACCTAAAACGTTGTATGAAAAGTATACCCATACCATGATTTTTAGGCCACCATGTTTTACTGTCTTCAGCGTATGGTTTGGGTGGTACTTTGTATTTGGAGGTCGACGGACATATTGTCTTGTCCTATTCCACCAAATAAAACCAGTTTGGAGTCATTTGTCCAAAGGATATTACGCCATTTGAATAGTGGCAGTTCAAGTGGCTATTGGCGAACTCCAATCTGGCCTTGATATGCCTTTAACCAAGCAGTGACATTTTCCATGGACTTCGCGAATCTAAAATTTATTCAATAAGTCCCCGGCGAATGGTCCCATGACTGATTCCCATGCCAATTCCCGCTCATATATCCCTAGAGGATGCAAAAGGACGAGCTTTGCTAAAGCGAAGTACGCGTCGAGCCAGTACAATTGTGGTTTTGCGAATCGTACCTCGGTTTTTTTGGGTTCGGTTCATATTTTATGATTTATAAACTATTCTAAAATAACAATTTGAAAGATTTGGAGTCTCTTTACATGTTTTGCCCTTCTTTCTAGGCTAAGTTCTCTGATACCTTTCTCTCATGGAGCAGTGAGGTCCTGCGCCCACTAAAATATTTTTTTTTGCGTTGTAAAGGTGTATTATATAATAAACTATAATAACTACCGTAATTAAACTCATTTTTTACAAAATTAATAGAAATTTCGGCACTTTTTGCGAAAGAAAATTAAATACTGCTATTTCAGTGATCGGCCAAAACGAGCTGCATATGTGAAAAAATATCAATAAAACATAAAAATAGAGCAAATCTAACGGAATTTTTTCTCGATTCTTATCTTTATGTTCCATTTAACAAAAACAATGTGCAATAGATCAGCTTGCAAAAAGGAATATGTACAAAAAAAGGTTTTGAAGTTGTTCCCTCTGTCGCACTGCTATTTCCGTGAACACAGCTGTATAGGGCCAAAAGTGGAGGCTAATAACAAATACCTCCGAGTCATAGTCACTCTTGTTTCTGAGTAACATGAAGATAATTTCGTCATGAATGCAAAATGAGTAAATTAATAGCTTGGCAACATAAATCAAGATTAGGCGACAAAAAGCGTTTTTAGAGTTGTCAGCTTGTTTTATAGTAAGAAATTAGAGTTTTAATATTTGTATTCAGCAAAATCGAACTAAAAAAAGTTGGTAAAACTAAAGTTTAATTGGGTTTGTTTTCGAAATCGAATTTTAAGGTGATCCACCCCAAATGGCAAAATACCAATTATTTTTATATAAGGAAAAAAGAAATTTACATCTGAGACCTAGTTCTCTAGCCATAGCATCCTTTGAACCACTGGTTTTAAAAGTTTAATTTTAAAATAAGAAATTAAATTTCCAACGATCACTAACCGAATCTTGCAAGAGCTACCAAAAGATGGAGCATTTATTGAGTATGAAAGCGCCATCTACGCGGTCATGAAGTGCCAACAGCTGCAACCGTGAAGCTCCGGTCACACTGAGGTAAAAACAACAACAAAAAGAGAAGAGTAAAAATGTTAATTTCCCGGCTATTACGAAAACAACGCATTTCCGGCAACTTAAGCTGGTCCCGTTGGAGCAGCGATGCCGCCAAGGCCACCACCGAGGCTAACCCGCTGGAGGCCAGCGCAGAGAAGCGCCAGCAGCTCATCAGCGAACTGGCGGAGCCGCTGGACCGCAAAAGCCGGCCCGCCATCGATCCCAAGGAGACGAGCATAATACTCTTTCCCGGCCAGGGCACCCAGTATGTGGGCATGGCCAAGGATCTGCTCCGCTTCCCCGGCGCCCGCCGCATCTTCGAGCTGGCCAACGAGGTGCTGAAGTTCGATCTGCTGAAGATCTGCCTGGAGGGACCACGTGAGAAGCTGAATCGCACAGAGCACGCCCAGCTGGCAGTGATGGTGTCCTCGCTGGCGGCGCTGGAGCAGCTGCGCGAGGAGCGGCCCAAGGCCATCGAGACGTGTGTGGCCGCTGCTGGCTTTAGCCTGGGGGAGATCACAGCCCTGGTGTTCGCGGATGCCATACCATTTGACAAGGCGCTGCGCCTAGTGCAGGTGCGGGCCACCGCTATGCAGGCTGCCTGCGACCGGGCAGCCGGAGCCATGGCCATGACGCTGTACGGACCGGACACCAACCTGGGCGAGGCCTGTGCCCGGGCCCAGCAGTGGTGTGTGGACAAAGGCGTGGAGTCGCCCTACTGCGGCATCGCCAACTACATGTATCCGCACTGTAAGGTGGTGGCCGGCAATGTGGAGGCCCTCGAGTTTCTCGAACAGAACGCCAAGGCCCTAAAGATCCGGCGGATGAAGAGACTGGCGGTCAGCGGCGCCTTCCACACTCCCCTCATGCAGAGCGCCGTGGAGCCATTTACCAAGGCGCTGAAATCGGTGCGCCTTCAGGATCCCGTGATCAGGGTTTACTCCAATGTGGATGGGAAGCCGTATCGCAATGCCAAGCACATCCTGACGCAGCTGCCCAAGCAAATCCTGAGGCCCGTCAAGTGGGAGCAAACACTGCACGAGATGTACGAGCGCAAGCAGGGCGCCGACTTCCCGCGCACCTTCGAGTGCGGTCCTGGCAAGGGTCTCGTCCAAGTCCTGGAGAAGGTCAACGCCAAGGCGGCGCAGACGAGCTTCAATGTTACGGCCTAAAGTTGATAATAAAATCCTGTTGTTGCTTTTATAAAAATGTATTTCTCTTTGTGGCTGAGGAAACAAAAAATAAAATAAAACGTGGGAGGAGCTTTTAAACTGCCTCAGATCCTTAACTCTTGTCGTCCCGGGTGCGCATGCGATGTGCAAAGGCAGCGCCCTTGTTCTTGCGGAAGCTCTCAAACGGATCGTGCATGTTGGCCCCCACGCCCTAAGGAGCAGGATTCAGACATTAGGGATGGATTTTTGGTAGTTTTGTGGATGTGTACACTTACCTTGTACATTTCCCGACGATCTCGGACTTCACCACCGGAGATGGGCGTATCTATGCCTTGGTTCTTTGAGCCCAGTCCCGTGCCAGTGCCCGCCCAGCCCATTTTCATGAGCATTTGGTGGCCCTTGTTTGACTCCTCGATGAATTCCTGAGGCTTGGCAAAGTTGCCGCCCCTGAAAAATGAAAGGAAAGTGAATTTAGAACTAAAGGGTTTCCTGGTTCATTTCTTAACTCACAGAAAACTCGGAGGAGTTGGGGATCTGTCGCGCTCTACTCGTCGTAGGGCGTTGTTACCATTGTTCCCTGTGTTGCCCACATTGCTGCGATCGGCACGATTCTCCCGATTATTGTTGGTGTTGCTGTTATTGTTCTCCCGTTCGTGACGCGGCGATCGGTTGCGACCCTTGCGATTGCTGCCACTTCCTCCTCCGCCGCCGCCGGATCTGTTGCGTTGCATCGGTGGCGGTGTCACAGCGCGTTCCATGGATCGAGATCTGGATCGGGAGCGGGAGCGGGAACGTGATCTGTCGCGCGGCGGCGGTGTGTGGGAACGAGAGCGACTACGACTCTTGGATCTAAATTGTAAAATAAAAGTCATAAGATGGAAATGCCGGAAAATATTAAACTTCAACTCACCGATAAACCCTCTTGTTGCTCTTCTTAGGCTTGGGCTTTTCGAGCACAATGGGACTGGGTGAGCGGGACTTCTCCCGTATGCCCTCCTTGATCTCCTCCTCCTTTTGCTTCCGCGCCGCATTCTTCACCTTGTAGTACTCATAGAGACCAAGCTTCTCCCAGCCCTCACTGCAGGAAAATAAAGGAACTTCATTAGTTTCTCTTAGAGATGCGTGTGCTTTCCCCCACTCACTTATCCCTGGGACGATCGTGCGAGGGAGCGGCATAAAAGGCATTCAATGCATTGGTCAACCGCTCGCTTTGTGGCGCCGGAGCTGGCAGTCGTATGTCCGCCGGATCCAGGGGCTTGTAGGTGTAGTCCTCCAGCCGGATTAGGGGCACCATCAGACCCGCGGGCAGGTCGTAGTATGGCGCTGTGGGTATTTGTGGCTCTCCTATTACTACTTGCGACTCGGCAGAGTCTCCTTCTGGCTGCTGGCCATCCTCCGATGAGTGCTGCTGCTGCTGGTCCGGATGCCCGTCCTCGGGTTGATTCGTTATCACCGCCCGAATGGCCGCATTGAGCACATCGAGATCCACTGGCTCACCCGGCTGGCCAGCAGGTCTCAAAGTCTGAGGATAGGCAGCCATGGGCGGCGGCTGTTGCTGCTGCTGCTGCAGTTGGTGAGGACCTGGCTGCGGGTCGTCGGGCTGGCGTTGCTGCAGCTGCATCACCGCCTGAATGGCAGCATTCAGCACACCCAGATCCACAGGTGGCTCATTGTTGGCTCCTCCCTGGCCCTGCTGCATCTGTGGATATGGTCCTTGTGGTTGCTGCTGCTGCTGCATGGGTGGCCCTTGTCCGTGATGGAGCATGGGTCCGGCAAAGCCTGGTGGTGGTTTTGACATGTCCGGAATGAAGAAGTTTGGACCCCTGGGATCTGCAAAGGGGTTGACCGGGTGCTGCTGCTGTTGCTGATGGAAGTTGCCTCCCGGGTAAACATTGTTACCCGCCGCCTGGGGATGCTGAGGGGCTTCGTGTGGCTCTCGGTTCCCCGGCATATTTACTCGGTGAGACATCAACGAGGGTATGTTTTTTCCTCCTCCTCCTCCTGGTCCTCCTTGGTGTGGCAGCATGTGTTGCTGTGACTTTTGGGCCACCATAACCTGCTGCTCCAGCTGCTGGCGCTGCTGCTCCAACTGGGCAATCTGCTGGCTGGCATGTTGGATGAATATCTGATGCTGTTTTTGGTAGCTAAAAAGGAGAAGAAATTTTATGAGTTGTGAAACTCTAAGAGTCCTCCTTAACCCACTTGTCTAGGGTGGCCTTGGTGTTCTGGGTGAACTTGGCGGTTATGTCGGGATGCGTGTTCTGCAGATTGGTTTTGTACTCCTGCATGGATGAGTCCGGCGACTGTAGCTTGGAGATGACGCAGGCATCGAAGAACTTGGCCTTGGACTCCCACAAGGACAGCAGTTTGGCAAGCTTCTGGCGCTGATCATTGCTGGCAACTGTTTGGGATTTGCAAAATGATAAATAACCAAAGATAATGCTTGGAGCAAGGTGATGATACATACTCAAGTCGGCGCTGCAGAACATCGGAATGACGACATTCTCGAGGTTGTTCTTCAAGTCATTGATGTTCTTGCGCATGCTGTAAATACATCGTTGCACTTAGGAAACTGCCACCAAAACCTACCAACGGCAACTGCTAGTCTAAGGTCTTGGTTCGTCAGTCGGGGTTTTCGGTCTGCTCAACAGCCAACCCACAAAGCCAGGCTGCTGCCCGAGGCTCTGTAGGTCAGTGGTCTGACTTTCTATCAACTAAACTTGTTACAATTGACTGAGCAAACTTACCAGTGGTGGAGTATATCATTAACTAAATATATAAGATGCAATTTTTGCTGAAACGTTGAACCATTGACCAAAGCCCTAAAAATAAATTAACAAACGAAAAAAACATATTTTTCTCTAGTTTCTGGTATGCACAACAAAATTCTGCCAAAGGTAATTGTTGTGCCAGAATGATATTTTGTTAGTTCTTTCTCTTTCTCTTTTTTTTTTTTTTTTTTTTTTTAATTTTTCAGCTGATGATTTTCACTGTGTTTTGTGTAGATTTAAGCTTAGTAAGGGGAATGATGTGTGTGTGTGTGTGTTTGGGTGTGTTTCCCTAGCTATGCTCTAGGTCCCGGATCTGCGGTAACTATTTCATGGATCAAACATCTTTCGAAAACGAATCAACGAATCAATCTCGAGCCTTTCTGGGGAATCGATCATCTCTCGCTCTTGCTTTTCGATATTTCGTTTTTCTTTTGGTTTTGGTTAGTATTTCACTCGTTGAAAGAAAGAAACACAATTGAATTAATATATGTGGAGTATCATTAATTATAAAACTGAGAGTCATACTTCTTTAAAAGATATTGTAAAACGACATTGATTTTTGCGCTGTCGGTTGAATGCTGTAAAATCCAGTTCTTGCCTAAAATTGCAATATCAAACGGGTTACTCATATTGTCATTGTAACTGGCAATTATATTATTAGGTAAATGTACAAATTAATTAAAAGTTTGTATGAATATTTAGTGTGTTGTGTGCTTGGCAAAAGAGGTATTCTCTTGAGATTACGAGTCTATGTATGAACTACGAACAAGCAATAATACTGAGTCCGGCTGGAATCGACCGTCTCAGACTGGCATATTTACCTGCAGAGATACTGTCCTTGGTGCAGGACTCTATGATCGGCTGCAGGACGCCGTCAAAGTCCCTCAGCACTATGCCCTGCTCCCCGGCCAGCTGCTCCAGCTGCGTCGTCTGCGCCCCGGCGATCGCCTCCTCGATCTGTTTCGTCTTCTGGTTCATCAGCGCCTAGAGGTTGGTTTCGGTATCGGTTTCGGTTGTGCGATTTGGTTTCGGATGCGTTGGTGTGGTGCAGATCGGTACGGATCGGTTCGGTCATTGAGCACACAAAGGTATTTTCGTTCATATTCACATTCGCATTAGCGTTCGCGGTTTCGTATTCAAACAAATTTGATTTAAGGATTTGTTTTTTTGATTTTTTATACAGTTTTTTTTTTGTCAGTTGGTATGAAGAGTGGTTTTTGATTTGGTAATTTTTTTTTTGTTTATGTTTCAAAAAATACAATAAAGCAAAAGTTTAATGTAGCATTGTAAATGGTTAATTCAATAGTTAAAATAATAGCAATAAAAGTTTGTCGATTGGTAATGCTGAAAGTACACTTTAAGGTATCTTCTTATCCACATTCAGAGATCAAGGGGACTGAGAGGACCGAAAGGGGCCAGAGAAGGGGCGTAATCATACTAGAAAGCGAGCAGAAGTCACTCTTTGGCAAATAAACTGAGGTTCATGGCAGATGAGAGACCTAATTATTCTTTTTTCCATTTTAAAATAGTCGTGAAATGCCATAAAAATTTGATATCTGCAGCTCTTTTGAAGTGAATACACTACAACTTCTGTAGCATTAAATCGAATCTCAAGGTAAAAGTATTGTAAACATTGCAAAATAGATAATTAGGGAACGCTTTCGATTTCCATTTTATTATTTGCTTATTTTCTGGCTTTCAACGTGCAACGTGAAACGGTCTTAACCAAATCGCTCATTACTTGTTTTTGTTATTGAAAAAGCGTAACAAGCTCGGCTTAACTGGGGTCATTGAACCAAGGACAAAACAAATGGTAACAAAGTGTTCTGTTCAGCCACAGAGCAAGCTCTTTTTTGGTTACATTCCACAGAAATTTTAATTAAGTTTTGTCTTTGTTTTATGGAAATGTTTGTAAAATACTCAAACAAAAATGTATAATCAACTAGAAGTCTTAAAAGGGGATGACCCATGTGAAAAATATTGAACAATTTTTCGGAAGGCTAAGCGATTTGAATTTTTTAACTGTTATTAAGTAAAGTATTAAAAAAAAATTTTTTGTTAAGTTAAAATATTTTCAAAATTCTGATAATGGATGTCGAAGTACTAAAAAAAGGGTATTTCCATGGTAATCAAGATTTTGGCGAACTGGGCGAGTCGATTTCAGAAATTTGAATAGCATTATGATCTAAATAAATGCGGACATCGCAAGAAATATGAAATTTTTAAAAAGGATTTTTTTTTTTAAATAAAAATTTAAAGCCAATTAGACATTTAATTTCAAAGAACTTGCTTTTTTTTTTTGTCTTTTTTGTAGTATACAAAAATATATACTTGAGTTATCCAAAGTTCCTAGTTCATGGGATGTCCGTTTCGAGAAAAACGCGAAGGAATCATTGTAGAAGTAAGCTACTTCGAAGAGCATTTCTTGTCAGTGATGTAACTTTGTAAAGACATCGAATATAGAAAATTTCTTTTAAGTAAATATAGTACATAAGTTAAGAAAGCGACTTATGAAAAGACAAAAAAAAATTTATATTTTGTTAAACCGTCAAATGGGTCCATTTTTCTAAGAAATATATTCATAATAACTAATACGATATTCCTCGAATTATAATATTTGAAATTCGAAGTTGAAAAATGGTTTAGGTTCTCCTTATATACAATATAAGGGAATTTAATTAAGGTGGGACAATCAACAGGGTTGTTAAAACTTTTGCATCGAGAGAAAGAAACGATTCAAGGGGCAGTTTCAGTAACATTTCTCAATGTTGCTTTCGTTAAATCAGGAAATTTCAAGTGAAATTCGAGATGGTAGTATTGCAGATACTTAATTGAAGAATGTGCACCCAAGTTTTTACAAGATTATTTCAAGTCAAGAAATTATAAAGACAGTAAAAAATAAAGACAATACAGGGGGCTTTCCTTCAAACACTCGAGCTGCTCTCTAATCCCTCAGAAAAATGCTTGCAAGAATATGTAGAGTAGACCGTTGATGGTTATCTGTGTCAAATTACCGTGTGTTGTGCGGAGAGATTCGCTTCGGATTGCTTGATTTGTTCCCGCAGCGTCTTCTGTTGCAGCTTAATGGCATCCAATTGGGAGGTTAGGTTCATGACCATGGCATTTCCATTGGCTTGCTGCTGCTGCTGGTTATTTGGCGGTCCACCTTGGCCCGAGTTTGGTGGCCACATGTGCTGGGATTGCTGCTGTTGGTGCTGCTGCATGTTGTCTTGTGCGTTCTCTGGCGGGTGTTGCTGGTGGTTGAGTGGCGGATAGTGGCCAGGCGGCTGGGATTGCTGCATGGGCGGAGGATGTTGCATGTAGTGGCCGCCGCCTTGGGTGCCCGGCGGCATTTGTTGAGGAATGCCCTGCTGCTTTAGCACTGGAAGGAGCGAGTATATTAATGGGTAATCAATAGATTCCTTCGGCCTGGCTTCAGCCACTCACGCGTTTGCTCCGCTGCCACCCGGAATTGATAGTAGCTGGCATACTCGCCGCCGTACAGGAACTCGAACTTGGGATTGTTCTGCTGCTTCTGCTTCGTTATGGCCTCGAATTCAGGCCCGTTCCGGGCCACAAACTCCGCCAGCTTGTCGATAATATTGCGTAAACTGGCATCTGCAAAAAAAAGCGAAAATTTTGCATAAAATGTGAGCAGCATATCGTTTGAGCGTGTGTGTGCGTGTTCTGGGGGCGCAGTGCACTCCGCTCGGCGGAGAAAAAATTGTTAATCGGGCTTTTCCTGGCCGCCACTCACCTCTCGGCGGCTGCACGTCCATTGCGCTGCTGTTTTTACAAACTTTTACTTTGTAATTTCACTTAAAACATTACTTTTAACACTTTTTCAGCGGCACTTTTTATCCTCTATTCTTTTTCTTCTTATTTTGTAATGTGACCAGAGCGCAAATGCTGGAAAATGCCCAGTGCAACGCCAAGTGCCTAAAGCTTCATCGACGGCGGTCACACTATCCACAATTGTAGTTTTTTCGAGGTAAACAAACGAAGAAAACATATATTTATAGCCAGCCCGTCGCTCGATTGAACGCAAACTCCTCGGCAGCGGGTAATTGATGTGGCACCCTGCCAGCGGCATGACAAGTCAATCCTGCACACCGATCATCCCTCGCACTGCGGCGTGGCATTAATTTACGCGGCGCCCGCCGTCATATAACTTTGTGATAATCAGCTACTAATACATTCACCACATACGATGGGCAGCAGAATGGCTGAGAATGCCGGAAGCAGTGTTATCAGCATTAATGGAGCCGCTGGCCAGGCGACGGCAGGAGCCTCCCCGCAACCGCAGCGGAAATCCTCGTCTGCAGAGTCGCCGCCGGAGCTGCGCATTCTGTGCTTCGACCTCACCTTCTACAACCGCACTACCCAGTTTCTGCTGAGCTGTGCCGGCGTCTTCATCCTGTACATCCTATACGGCTACCTGCAGGAGCTGATCTTCACGGTGGAGGGATTCAAGCCGTACGGCTGGTTCCTCACCCTCGTCCAGTTCGGCTATTACATCGGCTTTGGGCTGGTGGAGCGTCGCCTCGAGGGATATCGGGTGAGCGGAGGATCCTTCTGGAGCATTGAGCCGGAGCCACGTTGCATTCCCATGAAGACGTACCTTGTCCTGGCCGCCCTGACGCTGGGCACCATGGGCCTGTCCAACTCCAGCTTGGGCTACCTGAACTACCCCACGCAGGTGATCTTCAAGTGCTGCAAGCTGATTCCCGTCCTGGTGGGCAGCATCCTCATCCAGGGCAAGCGCTACGGAGTGCTGGATTTTGCGGCAGCCACCTGCATGTGCATCGGTTTAGCTTGGTTTACGCTAGCCGACTCCCAGATGACGCCGAACTTTAATCTGCTGGGCGTGGCCATGATATCGGGCGCCCTGCTCTGCGACGCCGCCATTGGGAATGTCCAGGAGAAAGCCATGCGGGAGTTCAAGGCGCCCAGCAGCGAGGTGGTCTTCTACTCGTACGGCCTGGGCTTCGTTTATCTCTTTGTGATCATGCTGGTTACCGGCAACTTCTTCAGCGGATTCGCCTTCTGCCTGGAGCACCCCCTGGAAACCTTTGGCTACGGCTTCTTGTTCAGTCTCTCTGGCTATCTGGGCATCCAGTTTGTGCTCGCTTTGGTGCGGAGTAGTGGCGCTCCCATAGCGGCCACAGTGACCACCGCTCGCAAGGCTGTGACCATTGCCTTCTCCTTCATCCTCTTCAGCAAGCCCTTCACTGTGCAGTAAGTATTCCCAACATAAACTATGATGATCTGTGATCTAACTCTTGTTTCTCCCCTTAGATATCTGTGGTCCGGCCTGATAGTTGTATTGGGCATCTACCTGAACGTGTGTAGCAAGAAGAACAAACTGACGTTTGCGGACATCCGGCAGAGATTAAAACAGTTCGCCAATTCCAGGATCGCACGGACTCCGAGTCGCAAATTCCTCATCGAAGTTTAGTTTGAATACCAAAAATAAGTTCCACCTTTTAGTCGAATTTGGACACCGGTTTTCTACAAGAAAGCTATGTACTATATTTACTTAATTATACGCTATGCTAATCTTTTGTAGCCTCCACTTGGTCGTGTTCTTATCTGTCCATGTCGAACTCCATCACGCGCTTGAAGAGGTCCTGCCGTTCCTTGGCGGACGTCAACTGTCCCATTTCGCGGTCCAGGAACTTTTTCTGATGCTTGATGATGAACTTGTTGCATTGTATAATGGTGGCGCCGATGTAGAGAGTCCTAAACTTGGCCCGGACGTCTCCTATCTGGGAAAGATCGAGGGGTTTCGTTGAACTGTTCAGAAAAAAAGATTCGTTTCTGCCTTACCAATGTGATTAGAGGCAATATGCTGGACACGAAACGGTGACCAGCATGCATGCACCTTATAATGGCTATCTTAGTCCTCTCATTGATGTACTTCACCCTGAATCCCTGCTCGATCATTCCTAGTCCGTAGACTCCATAGTACTTTTCAATGTTTCGCAGCAGGCATTTTGTCAGCGTGTTATCGTTGAGATACAACACCTTTGTGGGTGCGTAGGGCACTATCTGCACCGCAATATATCTAGTTTTTCGATTTTGTTGTTATTATTGTTAGTTTAATTCAAGTTTTTCTGTGTTTACCTGTTTTTTATGCGAACCATGCTGTGTTGATGTTGAAAACACTCACGCGTTATGGAATTCTAGGCATTAAGCTGTAGAAAATATCTGGTCACACTCTTTGTTTACGTTGATAGTATAACCGCGAAACTGGATTTCAATTATTTCCGCTAGATGGCGCTGAAAACAGACTATGAAGCACTTTAAAATAAAATTAAATTAAATTCAAGACATCCAATTAACGAGTTCGATACATTTAAGAACTGAACTGAACTTTATAATATAAATTAAAGAGCCATTATATTTAATACTCAATATTTTCTAGCGCAGTGCTTTGAGGTATGCCAGTATTTCTTCATGGTACGTTTAATTTGTAATTAAAAAAGAACCCAAATAACATTCCATTTAAAGAAGGAATACTAACTAAATTAAAATGTATAACTACCTTAAACTGGTGTAAGCTTTTAGAGATTAATATTATGATCCTTAAACTACTTTAAGTTATAAATTTCCAAATGCCAAAAATAACAATTTGCAAACTAAGTAGTAGATTTACGTCTCTAATAAATTATTAAAATGCTCATTTATGAGTTCTCACGTACGCTAAATTATAGTTAATAATTAGGTATTATTATTAGGTCAACACTTAAATTTTCCGAGAATTTTAAGTTCGAATTATGGCCAATTTATGTCAGTTGTCAAAATATTTTATATACATGTATAATATATTTTAAAAATTGGTAAACACTTTAAGATATTCTCGCCAAAAAGCCCTGCCAAAAAATAAGAGAAAATAAATTTAATTTCATGCAGTTGGTTTTTCCTTTGCAATTATTCTTTATTTAATTTATTTTTTTGTTGGTGCCAAAACTCAGTATGCACTCATTATTTTTTTAAGCAATAATATGTGTCATAAAGACAATGCAGTGCCAACCCACCCGAAAGTAGGTACCTCCCACCTGCTATACCCTGGAGTTCAGGGCAATCACTGCACGCATTCACGCCTCGCACCATTGGCGAATTCTCCAAGTCGCGTCTCGTTGTGGTGCATCTGGTGGCAGGTATACTATGTATATCGGAGTGTATATATAGTATATATTGTTTATATGCGCAACGCATCGCATTATAGCTGGCCAGGCGGCTATAGCACACATGCAGCTTCCATCCCGACCCACCCATCCCATCACATCTCTCGCTGGCCATGGAAAACCACTATACGGCTCGTATTCAGTCTCCGGCTGTGAGTGCGGCGGGATCCGTGCTCCTCGTCGTTTTATTTTCGCTTTTTCCGATAGCACATTTACAGTTTTTTCTAAAAAACAATAAAATTCAGGCAGCGACGTGGAAAAGCGCTACAAATACACACAAACACTCCGTGCGATCTTGTTCGTGTTTCCGATTCTCCTCTGTGCTTTTTGTTTTGTGTGCGTGGCAAGTTCAGCGATGTTGGTCTATATTTTGGAAAACGCATCCGCGCAGCCTCGTAGTTGGCACGAATATTCCGTGGCGATCGGTTCGAGAGATATCAGTGATCAGTCAGACTTGAAACCAAACCAGCAGCAACATGAGCAGCGTCGTAAGCACTCAACATTCAGGCTCTCCAGTTCCGCAAGGATTACTAAAAGGATTTATTTTTATTTTCGCCAAAGGATGAAGATCTTACCCCCGAGCAGATTGCCGTTCTGCAGAAGGCCTTCAACAGCTTCGATCACCAGAAGACTGGCAGTATCCCCACCGAGATGGTGGCCGATATCCTGCGCCTGATGGGTGAGTGCCTTGCCTTGAGTCCTGAATTGGGATTGTAGAGGGTACTAATGCTGGTTTTAATTGTAGGTCAGCCCTTCGACAAGAAGATCCTGGAGGAACTGATCGAGGAGGTCGATGAGGACAGTAAGTACAAGTTCAGCCTATAGATAGATCCCTTTATATATTTACATATATAGCGTCGAAATTGAGTCATTGACATTATTTTAAATGATTGAATTTTTCGCATAAAAATAGACCCAGTTCAATATTCGAACATTAAAATTCTTTTTGGTGAAAAGGAAAAGCCAATTAAAATAATGAGTTTAGAAAATTTTAATTAATGTTTCAGTGAAAAATATAATCATTATAATTTTTTATTATATAGATGATAAAAATAGAGCAACATTTTGAATTATGGATAGGCAAATAAATCATAATACGTATAGAGCTTTCAGTAGAAAGAACTGGAATAATGAGAAGAATTTTCCGAAAATAATATCAAATAACATAAGGAAATATTAAAAAATGTAGATCAATTATTAAAACACTGAAATAATATATATATATTAAAATATATATTAAAATAATATATATATTAAAAGCTAGAAGAATTTTCTTTACATTTAGGAGCAGTATGTTCTAAGACTTGTTCTAAAAAATCATTTTAAAAAGCTTACAAAGGCTTTTAATATTAATTAAATGAATTTTTTATGATTAAACCTTGAAGTTTATGACTATTTATAATGATTATTATTACACTAAACCAAGCATGATTCACTATCCACTGATGAGCGCAACTTTCTAGCTGTCAGTGATTTATGATCATCAGAGTCTCGGGCCCCGATCATTAGTCCGTAATATGTATATACGCCTTAGCTAAGTATATATATTGATAATCTTTCCAGAGTCCGGTCGCCTGGAGTTCGGTGAATTCGTGCAGCTGGCTGCCAAGTTCATCGTGGAGGAGGACGCCGAGGCCATGCAGAAGGAGCTACGCGAGGCTTTCCGTCTGTACGACAAACAGGGCAATGGTTTCATTCCCACCACCTGCCTCAAGGAGATCCTGAAGGAGCTGGACGACCAGCTGACCGAGCAGGAGCTGGACATCATGATCGAGGAGATCGATTCTGATGGTTCCGGTACAGTGGATTTCGATGGTGAGTCTTTCGATATAGTATTTTATTTTCATTCATTCTAGTGGCTTGCTATGCCGCCCACGCCATGCGTATAGTGATCATAAATCTGGTGATCTTGGGATACTGAAATCGCTCGATTATGACAACTTGATCAGTGCTCTCATGGAGCATATCGGTGGCTATTTTTAGTCTGCGACACAGGCCCACACTCGATTCGTTTTCCACGCATTTTCATTCTGAGGCTTCGGCATCGGGCATCGGCATTTTCCATATGAAAACATTTCTCTTGCTTCGTGTTTATGGAATATTTATTTATAAATATGCATACAGCGGTTGCTTTGGGCTTCTGGCATCGGTTTAATGTCTGTCGTTTTGTTTAATTTACAGAATTCATGGAGATGATGACCGGCGAGTAAATAAACGCACTGCGTCTGCCACCCACAAGCCACCACCTCCCACAACACACAAGCACACACGCGCACACCTGTTGGACGACGGACACTCATACACACACCACATACACAAACACATACACATGCACGTTTGTTTGCTCCCCATATTTGCACACTTGTTTCACTTTTTATTTGCATTTTCCCCACGGGAGCAAACAAATCCACGTACTTCAGTTTGACAATGCCAAACACAAGTAGAAATAGAACTTTTTGTACTACTTTTTATACTAAAAGAGCAACGGAATACTGTGTATGCGAAAAAATAAATGTTATACCATAACAACCAAAAAAACAATCTCGAAATATTTTCCCTACTCATTTTCAGTTTGCTTTGGGATTAGGTTTTGGCGCCCAGTAAACACGTCTATATCATAAATTTCATTTTCATTATGAGTGTAAACAGGAGTGCATCATTTTTATTCATTAAAAACACTATTTGTGAGGATTTTATGGTTATAAATTTATCTATACAATAATTTCCTTTAAAAATGCCTTGTCATTCGGCTTTAACAAAAATGAACGTTTGACAAATATTAGCTGCTGGGTCAAAACCAAAACAAAAACAAATTTAAAAATAAATGAGCAGAGGCAATTAGTCGCAAGTCTTTTTTCTCGGTTTTTATTTTTTTGTTTTCCTTTTGACAAATTGACATTTTCAGTTATTTTCTTGTTGGATTACATTTTTCACTTATTTCGGATTTAGGTGAATTTCAGGAATAAATAGAAATATTATGGGGGCATTAGTATAATTTTTTGAAAACAAAAATAACAGAATTTTCTTTGCCATTTTCTTATTTTGGAGTGTGGTTTTTATCTGTAATTTTTAGTTCGAAGTTAGCAGTGCTAAGTTATTAATTTTTAATTTTTAAATTCAATGTACTGGTTTGTTTCTCAAAATAAAAACACTTTCCGACTTGAAATGTAAGATTTTTTTTAATCGATTTGCAATTCAATTAAAAATTGCAAGGGTATACAGACTTCGGTTTTCCCGAAAGATTTGCTTTTGAAGGATTTATTGTCTCTTTAAATGGATTGTTGAAATTATTGATAGATATTTAAACTATTTATGAAGTGTGTCTTAGACTTGCTCTTGGCACGTTTTCTTGATTATTTGTTTTTCTTTAGTCTTGGTTTTCATTCAAGAGTCTTTGTTCTGTGGTTTTGTTGTTATGACATTAAATATTATATCAGCTTAAAATCATCTTTGTGAAGCTTAAAATGCTGAACATTAATCCATGTTTATTTTTTAGTTGTTGATTAATAAAATGTATTTTTAATTTTGGTTTATCATATGTTTTAATTTATTTTAAGAATATTTTAAAATTATTGAGAGCTTTAAGATAAATGTTAGCTACAAGTTGACCTTTACTTTATATGAAATAATAAATTCTTATAATTTCTATATTTTCCTACTTTATGAGATCGTGTTGTACAGCTTTTATTTATTTAAAATATTAATATTAAGCTAAGAAAAGGTTATCTTTAAACTTTAATTTCACATTTTGTACCTTAAATATAAGCTTAATTTATGTTTTATGTCATGACTAATACAAGGTATTTTTAGCGTTCAAGTTAATCATTTTTTTGTTCTATTTTTAATATATTTTTAAGCTAATCTTAAACTGAAGCATAGTAATAAATTCATTTGTTTTTGTACTCATAAATTATAAATATAATTCATTTTCTTTTTTTCTTACACTTTTAATAGATTTCCTTCGCAATAAATAATATTATTCCATCTGCAAATTCAACTATAAAATAAATTAAACTCTAATTGCTGCCCAAAAAAAATAATTTGTATGTTAATCATTTGCTATAATTTCTTTTGCCACCTTTTAAAGAGTCTCCATTCCGAATTTCCGTTATGAAAAGAATAAATATTATGCCAGCTACAAGAGCCAACTTCTTGTAGCTTCGATCGGCCAAAGAGAGAAGAAGCCCGCGCTGAAGAAAGCTGCGGCCAAAAAGCTTCGTCTTAACCACGTTACCTCCATCGGTAAGCTATTGCCTTTTGGCTACCAGTGTTTAGTGCGAGTTGAGAGCTGGGCGTCGAGCGTGGAACGTCGTGCCGCTGCTACGCCTATTACCATATACGGGTTCCATACGGGCCTAGCCACCTTCCGCCGTAAACCGAATCAAACTGAACGGAACCTTTCCCTGGCGATCGCGAGTTTTCCGCGAGTTTTTCAACAGTGTCTCGTGATTCGCGTTGCGATTGATAAAGAAGTTCAAACAGAATTGTGAAGATACATAATATATACTCCGACATGCCGCAGAGGTAACGGAAAGAAAGCGGTAGCCAAGGCCTTTATTTATATAATAACAGTAACAAATGGTGTTTGTTTTGGCCAAGAACCGAGAATGCGAACGTGTTAAAAAAAGCAAAGGCAAACGGCAACGGCAACGCTTTTGGCCATGCCTATAAAATTTATGAGGGCATCGTAAATTCATATAGCGCCCCGATACTCTTCTCTTTAGCGCTGGCTAGCTTGGCCTTTTCATTTTTCTTGACATTGGCTTTGGCTTATCAAATAAATTATAAAACAAAATTGGACCTGATAAACGGCTTGCCGTTGTAAATTTGTGCGTGTGTGACTGGTTATAAGTGTGTGACTGCGAGTGTGTGCGCGAGAGCTGTCGGCCAAGTTCGCTTGATAAGCGCTTTTTTTTGGGGCCGCTTTTCGTGGGCTTTTTTGTAATTTTAGCCCTGATTGAAAACAAAAGCCATTGCCACCAACACGCGCACTTCATTGGGTGGAAAGGGGGTTTCTCGCGGGGGGGAAATACGGGAAAATTCTGCAGCTCAGCAGCAGAAACCAGACGTCAGTCGTCGCCGCCTGTGACGTGAGTCACAACAATGGCAAACCCAGCAATTAGCACTTGACTTTGAATCAAATCAAGCCGAAATCAGTCGCAAACATGATAACGCAAACACAAACAAATCGCAAAAGATTCCATTTAAGTGTAACTCCAGGTGTTTTCAATATATTTTTCTATTTACTTTCCTATTTCGAAAGTCCCACCAACAACAACAACTGGTCCTTCCAGCCGCTCCACCGACAGCGCAGCGGGAGTGGCTATGGCTATCCGCAGCATGTCCTCAATACGGTGCCGGAAACGGCAGTGCTCACGACTCCTCCGCCCACGCGTAAGAGTAAGTAAAGTGTTTTTATTTTTCCTTTTTTGAATTTGGCGCGCTGTAGCAGGCAGCTTGCGTAAGGCAACAGTTAGTAAAATTAAGGAAAATAAATTGAATATTTAAAAGTAAATATGAATTAAGAGCTGAAAACTATTTTCTTTTATATGCCCCTCTAAGAAATTTATTTTGTATAGCTATAAATGTTTATTTATTTGTTGTTATATTATAAAAACTTTAATGTTTTTATTGTCTTTAGCAAAGAAATCTGTATTTTTGACAAACAAAAATTTGATTTAAATTAAGTAATATTTTATTTATTATTTAATGCTGCTTTAATAAAATTTTTGATTTTGTTAATATATTCTAAAAACGTGTTTGTTTTTATTGTCTTTTGAAAAGGAATTTGTATTTTTGACGAACAATTTTATTTTATATTTTTATTAATATTTTATTATTGTTTTGGTGTTTCAACAACTGTTTAAATAATTATAATTTTTTTAAAAATTGAACAAACTTTTAAATGAGTTATCAAAGATTATGCCATATTTTTTTTTAGTAAGAAAACTGTACTAAACAATTAAATATTATCAATATTTGTATATCAACAATGTAAATAAACATTATTCGAATATTTTTTTATTCAAAAATTTTTGAATTCAAACGTTAGAGTTCCATAACTCTCAGCTTTTGTCAGCTATCTTAACATTGCTTTCAGTCATTTTCCCACACTCTTTAACGCTTTCGCACGCTGCCCAACACTGCGCCTTTAATTAAACAACAACAACTGAAATAAAAACAAAATTTGTAGTCACATTTAGCTCACAAATTGCTGCTTCTGCGGAAAACAAGCGCCGATTCCTACCAGCGCGGAAAAAAAGCATGAAAATGCTCGCGGACACGGAGCGGGAAGAAAACCTGAATTTAGTAAGTTCAATTAACAAAAAAAAAAGAAGAAAAAAACGAAGAACCAAAAACCATGACAACGGCGACAAACAAAACAATCGTTGCCAAAAATGCGAAATGCGATTAACTAACATTGCTAATTGATTATCAATTTTTTTTCGGTTGTGTTCTCTTTTTCCTGTTTTCCTCATTTTCCGCACCCCGCTCCCGCTCCAACGCCGCCGTCGCCGCCGCCCACTGTGCCGTTATTGATTTGTACACGGAACGTGATTTGTTTGGCGGCGCTATCGCGAAAAACCTACGCACATATATAATCTCTGGGGCTTGAACTATACTACACACCGCGGAAATATGCAAAATACAAATATACACACACTTTGCATACCCTATTGCCGCATTTCCAGCAAATTGAATTCGAATGGGTGCTGCGGCAGGAGGTGCACGCGATACTGAAGCAACTGCGAACCATTCTGGTGGTGAGTTCATGACCTACATCTACATACCTCTGTGAGTCTTTAATTTGTCATTGTGCCATATTCCGGCAGGAGTGCGCCCATCGGTTTCCGGTGCCGCTGTACGAGAACGAGGGAAAGAAGACTGAGAAGTTCATACTCGCCGTGTCGCCCGATCAGCTGAAGGCCGTGCTCACCCTGACGGGCGATGCCATCACACAGGCTGTAAGTTTAAATCTGGAGATGGGATTTCTAGAAGTACACCTAGCTCTTCCTAAGTCTTTTCGGGGGTGTTCCTTAGAGAGCCGACTTGGGTTTGAATTCTAGAAAAGGAAACGAACTTCGGAGTTTATATACCCATCATAACTTAGCCAAAAAAAGCAGTGATTTTACTTTTTTATTATGTTTACATATAAATTTTAATATTTAATAATTTAAATTAAGGTCGGAAATGACTTCTTCAGTGCGTGGCAAACTTATTTATAAAATATTGATTACCTGCAACGTTATTAAAACAGTGACACATCAAAGTTCTTTACACAGACTTTAATATTTTGTACATCCCCTGAAATATCTTGGGAATTACTTCTCGTTTCGAGCTTAGCACAACAGACTGTTCTTTATTATCTTTATCTTTATGAAACTTGAATTCAACAAGGAACAAATAACATAAATACATAAAAGAATAAGAGTTAACAGTTTCAAAACAAATAATAAGCAGTGCCTAGATTGTTTTTTTATGATGTATTAGCTTCTTAAATCATAGTAAATTATCCAACTTACCAATGACGAAAACAGATTCATTTTAAGCTAAATTCATACCCTGATAGACATCTAATCACAAACTGGCGAGCATTTTCTGCAGTCTTACATCATGCAATCAATAAATTCGCTTTTAAATCGGTTTCGTGACTAGATTCCTAAGACTCTAAATTCTAAAGCCTATAAGCCAGTAAATTCTATTCAAAACCAATACTCATCTACCTCTATTATTCACAGGACATTAGCTTTAAGCTGTGCAAGGCTCCCAGCCAAACGCAACGTACCTCCATCACAGGGGAGTCGCCCTGGAAGCTGCAACAGGTCCAGGATGCCGCCAATCATCTGCAGACCGCAATCAACCACATAGACGATGTCGACGACTCTTATCACTTCAAGTGAGTCACAAGTTTGTTTTTACACCCAGATTCGAGGTTATTTATATGTACATAAATGTCGCTCTCTGTAGAACCTCCGATGAAGTGCTGCATGTGATAGGCAACATACTGGATGCCCTGCAGCGTGGCAGGAACAGCTTGCTGGTGCCCAAAAAGAAGCCCATCGATGAGCTGATCAAGGGACGCAATATGAAGTCGCTGGTGCCCAACCTGCCCGAGGATCTGGCCGTAAGCTTCTATCTGCAGAGCCACAAGCTGATCATAGCCGTTTACCAACTGCTGAACAACCAGGGCACCATGCGCTTTGATTCCCGCCAGGCGGAGGCCTCCGTTCAGTGGCTGAACGATGTGCTGCTGCTGCTAATGAATGGCCAGAAACTGTGCCAGCAATTAAAAGACAAGGTGAGTCACATATACCAGCAATAAGTGAGGGGCCGGAAGTGGCCTCGCGAAAGGAATTTGGCTTGGATACCCTTGGCACAATATCACGATCGACACCCGCATTTGTTGAATAACAAGAATAATTCGTGGCAGTTTAGGAAAAATACAGAAAAAGTAATTATTTTGGTCTATCAAAAGCATAAAGGCATTTCTCTTGTCTACACAGAGGGAAAACTTTGTTTTAAAATAAGGTATAATATCATTAAATTTAATTTCTTGAAGGAAAATATACGATTTTACCAAAAGTTAGACCTTTTCGCACACAATAATTATTTTTTTTATTAAAAAATCTATTGTTAACAACTTATATTTTTAGAAATAACTTAAAACAATAAACATTTTTTATTTTTTTTTTTTTATTTAAGAAATTAGGTTTTTATTTCCTTATATTTTTGGTAACCTAATCTACTTCTCAATTTATTTTTATTTAAGAAACATTTTTTATAATGAATTTTTTATTTTATTTCCTTGGTTTTACACAAAGTATCTTAACCTAATTTTTAATTTATATTTTTTTTTTTTTTTTTTTATTTAAAAAATGTTTTTTTTTTGTATTTCCTTATTTTTTTTGGTAACCTTACCTAGTTTTTAATTTATTTTAATTTTATTTTTCTTTAAATTTAAAAAATTATTTTATTTATTTTTATTTTTATTTTTTTTTGTATATTTGTGGTAACCTTACCTAATTCTTTATTTATTTAATTTTGTTATTTTACATATTATGTTTTTATTTTTATTTCCTTAATTTTTGGTAACTTAACCTTATCTGAAATAAAGCCATATTTCATAAAGAATTTCACTACTTTCTCATTTTTGCTAAGTGTAGCAAGCAAAATGTAATGAAAACGAAAATTTATTTGCCTTTTGGCTGCTCTTGAGAACATCAAAAATTGATTTTAATTGGATCTATAAGTCAAAATAGAACCGAGAATTGTTTATCAATTAAAGGCCCGCCCACAGATGCTGACTTAGCGCAACACACCCATCTTAGAGAGGGTCTATTTTTGGGTATTAACGGGCACTGATAAGGCGCGTCTGCTCTTGAACTGATATCACAACGATTCGCATGTTCGGAGCACATGTGCCGCCGCAGATGCTGGGATGTGTCCCATTTTTTTTTTGTACCGCACACCCACAAGTTGCTGCCAAGTTTTATTTAGTTGCTGGCCAAGTGCCAGGGCCACCGCTGCTGCTGACTCTGCTGCAGTTCTTGACTGTGACGCAAGTCCGCAATTAAAGTGGCCAATATGGGGATTGGTAGGGGATGAGATGGGCTGGGCCCCCCCCGGCGACTGTGTGCGTATTTTTAATTCCATATTTTTACTCTTTCCCCGCAGATATCTGTGTTTTCGGTGTACAAAGATTTCACAGTTGGCTCGCGCTCACCCTCAGCGCTATCCTATTGAGACGAGGATGGGACGTCAACTGTGTAGCGGCGACAGAAACAATAACAACAATAATAGCTAATAAAGAAATCGTACTTGTAATAGCGAAGTAAATAATGTTAGTTGAAATGTTGCCACTGGAAACGGCGCACACCGTACACATAATACCCCCGCATACACCCTATACTACACATATATATATATAATACTAAACTGCACTGTACTGCTGTATATACGGGGCAGTACAGTGCAGTACATTCAACTAGTTTAATGTACACACAATCGACATTCATGATATATTACCCATCGCTTCACGTCACTCCAATTATGCATCAAAATGCATCTAAATAGCATTAGGCTGAGAATTGAAACGGAAACATTGTGTTTGTATGTGTAACTAAATGAAATTGCTAGATAATTATAGTTTATTTGTACGTGTAATTTAATGTAATATACCATAGAGTCCCCCCCTATATACATATATTTATGTTTTGCAAGGCAGATCAGACGGTACTTAAGATCGGTACTTACTTACAGACCCGTAACCCCCTATATAATACATCGGCATTTACATGATATTGTTGTAATAAACCAAACCGAAATGTGAACAGAATTTTTAATTGTACTAAACACCGTTTTGTATTCGTATTCGTAATTGTATTTCGCGTACTCGTGTTAATGGTTAATAGTTAAGCGCGCCCAATCCTAATCTAATCCAAAGTCATTTGTATCAACGGCCTTTACTTCTCGTTTACTTTATACATATATATAAACCATATACCAGGGAGTTTATAAAGATATTTGTATATGGAAAGTCAAGAGAGATGAGCAACGAAAACAATTACCACTGTACTTATTGAATATTGCGATTGCCTAGGCACCCCCACAGAAATGCATGGGAAGAGAAGACAACTATTTATGTAATCACTAAGCGTACTTACTACTGTCCACATTCATTTAATTGTTGTTGAATAAAAATTACCTTTTACCAACGGAAATGTCTTAAAATTTATTTGAAAAAGCTCCGATTGTTGGCGCCTTCAGGCCGATAGCTGCGATCGATAGCTTCGTCAGCCGATAGCTTGGGTAGCTTGACAACACTCTATCGTGCCTTGGTCTTGGCCAGCTTTGTTTATGGCCAAATCAAATCGGACAGTTTCAAGTCTGCAGGCAAGCGCTAAGGTTTGCCATCCAAGAAAGTTTCGTTATCTCCTGGTAAGCGGAGTTTCTCCATTATTACGCTTAGATTTCCCCGCTTCTAGATGGATAAAAGTGCTTTAGCTAAACTGGCCAAGACATGGCCTGGCCAAAAAAAGAGCTAGGCTAACGTAAAGTGCTTGACGGCTCGATGTCGAAATAGAGAGACGCGGAAACCAGTTCGCGGTAATTATTTTGATGCTAGTTTGACGGCTGTGTTGTAATCCCAGTTAGCCCAGCGACAACATTAGCACATTTACCCGTGTTTCTTTTTGTTATTGTCGCCATTTCGTTGTTGGCAGTAGATGTTTGCCCCTCTGTTGTTTCTTTTTTGGAGTCTGTCTCTAATAAAATCTCAACTCAAAATTCACAATAGTGTTGACCGTGGCCAAGTAACACACAAAGGGGGAAACTAAGAAATCGAAAGCTTGATAGGATCGCGGGTTAATGGAAATCAAAATGCCAATGCTCTGTGGTTTTATCTAGATTTTTGTGCTATGAATTTTCTTTTACACATTTTCAATATTTTATTTGGTGGTTTTTATTTAATATTTTAAGATTAAACAGGCAAAAACCGTATAAATTTCGACAGTGTTTTTTTTTCAATTACAAATACTAGTTTCTTTGTTGAACCTTTGACCTTTCTTGTGTAGTTTGTGGTGAGCTTTAAAAGCCTTTATTTTCTTTCGCAATATTTTTTACTAGTTTTATTAAAAAGGTTTTAAGTAAATGTAACTACTTAAAAAATACGATTGTGTGTAAGCCAACATTAATTAGGGTCAAGTTTTATGGGAGAGTAAATGAGTTTATGGTTTACAAAATAATTTAAATGATTTTGTTGAAAAAGGGAAACTCCGCTAATATGTCCTTCCTATATAAATAAGGGGAAAATGGTTTTTAAACTATTAATAGAATAAAGGAGAAGAAAATAATTTAATTTAAGAATTTTAGTAACAGCAAAAAGCACCTATTTCTACAGTTTTTTTTAGATATGATTGTAAAAGATTGTTTTCACTAAAAATTAATGTAATTGCCTAATAATACTCTTTAAAAATATAATATTCATAGTAAATAATATAAAATAACTCAGTAAATTAATAACTACTCAAACTCTTCAACAAAATACTTTACCTTGCAACAATCAAGAACATGTAGATTACCTTAGAAGTGTCTCAGGCTAGTAATCAAGGAAATGGGGCTTGCGAAGAGTATGAATTAAATATAGTTTGTATGTGGATAATTTGCCACCTTTATTAGCGGGGGGCAGTGCGTCGTCACGCAAGCCGAGAGCATTTGAAAACGCGCCGAGTCATTCGGAAACCTGCTCTGCTGACCCTCGAAGAAGGTCGTCCGAGACTCGGACTGAGGCTGACTGATGATGAGCCAGTTTATGTGGAATGGCGCGCTATGTGGCCGGGTTTATGGGGCTGCCGCAGCCGCCGCCGGCCATAAAAGCCACTCTCACGGAAACTCGGCTTAAGTGGCAGCTATGCTAACCTGCATTCGGTCTCGTTGCAGTTAAACCAGTAAAGGCAGTGCACTTTGACCCCCCGGACGAAATGGGTGGCGGCAATACAGGCGAAGTGGTGCTCGTAACCGGCGGCAGTGGATTTCTGGGTCAGCACCTCATCAAGCAGCTGCTGGAGCGGAAGGAGGAGCTAGGCATCCGCGAGATCCGTTCGCTGGACATTGTACCATACAAGAACAACATCGGGCATGCTGATACACCCCTGCTACGCACCTTTGTGGGCGACATCGGCGCTGACCCGGAGCCCCTAGGGCCGATCTTCGCGGGCGTTGACGGGGTTTTCCACTGTGCCGCCTCGGTGAAAATCGAGTATCCGCCCAACTACGATGAACTGGAGCGCGTGAATGTGAACGGTGAGTGAGCAGGTACTTTTCCGCCGGTGGAAACTAAGTAATACACTCTAATTTGTGATTAAGTTTTATTACTTTAAGAGAGATTGCTTGTGATTTCGAAATAGTTAAGTAATCAAAAGGAAAATGGTAAATTTAAGGGAACATTTAAGTTTTTATTTAAAACGGATTTTAATTAATAGTTTTTAACTTTTTAACTACTTAATGTTTAACAATTTAAATCCACTTTTAGTCAAATCAAGAGTCTATTCTTGTTTTTTTTAATTTATGGCAGGTCCACTAGTCGTATACGTAATTTTCAAAGCTCCTTTTTCCATAATATTACGTATCCGCCTAGTGAACCCATTAAACCTGACAAGAAATCCCTAATACCCCAAAACCATACCCTTTCAGGAACCCTGGCCGTGGTGGATCTGTGCATCCAAAACAATGTAAAGCGACTGGTCTACACCAGCTGCACCTCCGTCTGCTTTGTGCCCTTCAAGGGTCGCAGCACCTTCTCGGCGGTAATTAACTCCACGGAATCCAAGACGGACACGCCCACGCTGGACAGTTCCACTCTGTGGGAGCAGGATAGTCAGTTTTTGATAGCGGGTTACGCCTCCAGCAAGCTGAGGGCGGAGAATATAGTGCTAAACTCAAATGGAGCACCTCTGCAGAACCAAAAGGGTGAGTTGTGCAAGTCTTTTAAAGCTTAAAAATCCCTATCAAATCCCTAATCCTTTACAGAGTATCTGGCCACCAGTGCCATTCGTGCACCGCTGACTTACGGCGAGTGCGATTCCCATTTCATCACAAAGATCTTCGAGTATTTGTCAACCCGGAGCTGGGTCTTTCCGCGAATTGCTGGAGTGGGCGGCAAGCAACAGCTAGTTTACGCCGGAAACGTGGCCCACGGACACATCTGCGCTTACCAGGCCCTAAAGGTATCCGACAAGGCGGTCAATGGACTGCCTGTCTTCGTCACCGACGACACGGGCATCAACGATGTCTCACGGTTTGTCCAGAAGATGGCCGTGCTAGGAGAACGGTTCAAGGTGAAGACCAGCTGGTGGTACGTTCCGCACTTCCTGTTCTTCTTCCTGGCCTTCCTGCTGGAAGTGGTCGTGCGAGTCGCGTATCCCTACACCAAGTACCGTTTGCCCTACTCTCTGCGCGCCATCGCCTCCTACACGTCCTCGATGCTGATGTACAACCGCCTGCGCGCCTCCATCCACATGGACTACATGCCGCTCTTCGATCCGGACGCGAGTGCCGAGCGAAGTGCCAAGTGGTATGCCAGGTGGTGGGACGAGCGCAAGGAGGCCAGAAAGCTTAAGAAGTCCAGCTGAGCTGAGTGGCGCAAATCCTGCATTACGCACTTCTAGTGTACGTTTCGATATCGTAAGTGGATTTTTATTTACTGCCCCGCTTGATGTCCTGTAAATATCCTGTTGAATAAAATGGTTGTTGTTCGTTGAACGAGGTCGTGTTGTATTCCTTTATTTGGGAAAGAGCTCAAAGGCAAGGCCAAATGATGTTTGCTGTGGCGGAAATCGGCTGCCCTTATTATTTTGTTAAAGTTTCTTAAAATGTTTAGAAAAATCGTATCTTTTAATAATTTTTTGATGCTCAACTTTAGACTTAACAGCAAAGGAATCTGCCGAAGTTTGGAAAACCTTGTGCATTTCAGACTCTGGTAAATATATTTCTTTAACTCAACTTTGACGAGATCAATATGCACTCCAGTGTTGCCATAGCAAACTGTAAGACTTGTTACCTATTTATTTTAACGAAAAGGATACACCATCATATGGCCTGATAATTGGGTCAGATAGTTAAGCCACAATTGCATATTTTTTAAATTGCATACTTTGTGGTGTTCTTAATATTGGGAAGGGGTTTAATTTTAGTATACTTTCGTGCAGTAGATCGAAGACCTCTTCACTGACTTCATTGATAATAAAGGCTTGCGCCAAAGCAAAGATTTCTATACTCTTTGGCCAAAGTTATACCTCAAACTGCTCTATTCTGTGCGCCTGAAATCAAACAATGGAACATTTGTAATGTGAGTATTGGGGCCTCAGTTTTGCCTACAACAACTGTAGTTTCACAACAACATTTTTGCAACAGCATAGAGCCTTTAAAATTTTGCTAAAACATTTCGGTTTCTCCATTTTGCGGAACAGGCGAACAGAGAGCACGAGAGCAACGATTCATAGACATATGTAACCATTTGCTGAGAAATATGAAAAAACGGAAAGCTGTTGTTGTAAAAATGTTGTGCTGTTGTTAAAAGGATGTTGTTGGTGAAGTTGTTATAGAATTTAATTTTGTTGTTTTGCAGTACTAATTCATCAACTGCTCGATTTTAGATACGAGGCACACAGAAGGCAGCAAAAAAAGGATTAACTTTGAAACAGACTATTGCTTTATCTTTTCTGCTCTTTCAATGACGTCACCACAGTTCACCACATAACCTGCAACCTGAAAGTATGCAAATTTTTAGCGTCGATGTCCTGCAATTTCGACAGATGGGGAAAGGACATCTTACATATCTAGTACACCCTGAAAGCGTGTAATTCCCCTTCATAACCCAATAAAAAATACAACTTTGACAACATATGTTTTTGAACAATGTTCATATTGGTTTATTTATCATTATGAATTAATTTATTTATTTCTCAGTTATTTCATTATAATTTTTATTATATATATATATATATTTGTTTGTCTTGGTTTTTTCCTTTCTTGTTTTTGTTCTTCTTGGTTGTTTTTTTGTTGCTCTAGAGCATTTCTTTCTGCCGTTTGTTTTTTAAACTTATGTACCATTAGCTTAACTTATTATGCCATTATTTAATTTCATTTTTTTTTGTTGTTGTTTAAAATCATGTTTTAGTTTTCTGTTCATTTTTGTTTTCTCCCATCCCTTGCACATCCTGCT